TTTGTGGGCACTTCACTCTGGCCTTGCCGCTGGCCGGGAGGATGGATGGGCTCTATGCTCTGCGTTTCCGTCAGCCTTACATGTTCAGAAACCTGTTGGTTTTAGTTTCTCTCTTTCTCTCTCTCTCTCTCTCTCTCTCTCTCTCTCTCTACCTTTCTCTGCCTTCCTCCTGCCACCACCTCTTCTCTGGCAAATGGGATTTTCTCTGCGCACAGCTCATATTTGGAGGCATTTTATGTTCCGAAGAGGCTGTGGTACAAGGGACCCTTGAGTGTGTGTGCTGAGGGAGGAGGCTGAGCAGGGGATGGTGGCCCCTGCAAAGGGCCCCCAGCCAGAGCGTGCTCGCAGCAACTCTGGGTGGGATGTGGGGTGGCGGGGGCTTCATCGCTTCTCTGGCTGTTCCCCTTCTGGAGAAAAAAAAAAATCTCTGAGGTGAAGGAGACGTTGCTATCTGTCTCCTCAGACCAGTTGCTACCAAGTCACGATTGCTCCTGATTTGGGAAAGTAGAAGGGCTCCTCCGTATGGGTTTCAGGGCCTGATTTTTTGGCAGGCAGATCACCAGGCCTTTCTTCTGAGTGCATTTGAAGAAACCTTTTGGTTAGCTGCTGGGCATTCACCGTTCGTACCGCCCAGGGACGCTGCTATGGAACTCTGCTATGTGCTTATGATTCCAACTGAATGATGGGCAACAGATTTCTACTGGCACCCACACTGTGGCTGGGCTGCTCCTGTGCCCCAGTCTGCGGCATCCTCGGCGCGGCGGCACGGTCTCGCCTTTGCCACGATGGAGCGTGACTGGTCGAAGGAGCAAGGCGAAGGCAGGACAGAAGAGTGGGTGGGTGGCTTGGCAAGTGAGGCAGGAAACCACTCTGAAGCACACCTGCTGGTCTGTACCCTGAGCTGGGCATCTTCAGACTGAAATGAGGAGTCACTGGGGGGGGGGGTCATCGAGAGCAGGAGTGACTCTCAGGTCGTCCAGTGGGCCTCCAGCTCCCCCGGGCCCCCTGTCCTCCACCATTCAAGCCCACGTGATGCCACTGGCCATACTCGTCAGGTCGTTCTGTCATGGATCTTCGTTATTGAGAAAGAGAGAGAGAGAGAGAGAGAGAGAGAGAGGAGCAGACAGACAAGAGGGAAAGGGGTGGGGGGTCATGAGAAAGCAAGGCAGGCAGAGAGAAAGGAGAAGAGACCTCTCTTTCTAGGTCTCTACATCAAATCACCTTGTCACTAGATCAGCATGGTCGATCACCTTCCCTCTGATCCTTGCTGTTGTTTGTGGACTTCGCACAGTTCCATAGTGGGAGCCTCCCACATCCCTGGCGGAGAAGGGAATGCAGTGTGGGGCTGCTTTTAATGCCATTGCAGGAGGGTTACGACATCCCCTCACAGCGGTCCATGTTAGTAACCTCTTGTTTTCTTGGGCAGGTATGGGTTCATACAAGGGCACGTAGTGATCCCACGCATCAACCCCAACTCCATTTGTGCCGCCAACAACACTGGAGTCTACATCCTCACGTCCAACACCTCCCAGTACGACACGTACTGCTTCAATGCTTCAGGTTGGTGCCCAGTGGGTCGACTTTGTTTTTCTGGGAGGCTCTTTGCAACCTTTGGCAGCATCGCTGACTGTGGTTTGATCTCAGAGCTTTCGTTCATGTAGCAAGTATTCAGTGCCAATCTCATCAACAGAGACAAGAGTTCTGTCTCAATGGTGGCCCATGTTAAGCCAGGGAGTCAAGCAGGAAATACCTTGCATGAAGTCAGAGAGGGGGACTAGGGCTGGGAGGGATGGGAACATGGGGGTGTGGGTGCCATTATTTAGAAAGCATCTCGTTATGGAGATGGAAAGTCTGTCAAGCCATATTGGTGATGGCTACGCAACCTGAGGGATGTAATTGGTTGTAGTGAACAGTGTTGAACTGGCAACTGTGCTATCAATGTTTTTAGAGCACTAAGGAAAGCAAAAGCACAATAACAAAAAACCCCAAACTGGTGAGCCCCCAAACCAGAATAAAGACAGCAGAGTAACGAGCTGAAGTGTACCAGGGATGCCTTTTCGAGAAGGTGGTGAAGGAGAGTGCTCTTGAGGAGGTGCCTGTAGGAGAGCCCTAGGTGCAGTGAAGGAGTGGGCTCTGGGCAGTGTGGACAGCCAGACTGGACAAATGGGAGCTTGTTCCAAGAACAGCAGGGAAGCCCGAGTAGCTACAGCACGGAACAAGATCAGAGATGAGCAGGGGCCAGATCACATGGACTTTGTCAGCCATGGAGATGAGTTGGGCTTCCATTCTCAGTGGGCTGGGCAGTCACTTCACAGTTGTGAATAGAGGAGTGACACGAATCTAATGCTAGCCTTGAATGCAAGTCAAATCGGAGTGGAATTTCATATGCATGATGTTGAGAGAGAAGGCTGGAGGGATACATAGCAAGCTCTTGACCTTATTAAGTGTTCCTTATCCCAACAACTAGAGAATAAGAACCCAAGTTAAGGTGTGGCCACTGGCAGTGATTGCTTTCAATCACTGATCTAGAGGAACATGCTTACATTTGAATTCAAATTCAGGCCCCAGTAAAGTTAGAGCGTTCTCTGCATCATTAATCTTCAGGATCCTTTAAGTAAGGTAAAGATCATAAATGTCAACTTCTTCAATATCAACAATCAAGTGTCTTACTTCTCAAATGGGCCCTCAATTCTCTGGAAGGTTTGAGATTATGTATATAATCTCAGTGAGTTTATATATGAGATTATGTATATAAAACCACACACACAACAAAAAACTTGACACACCTTCTTGGGGAGTCAGCTTTCTCTGGAGATTGGGTGGGGACACTGAGTTAGCTAGAAAATGGTTTCAGACATTATTTGTTTAAGACAAGCACAGATGTTATATATGGCAGGGGAATATATAATCTGCATAGATTTTAAGGTAAAATAGGGATATCCAAGAAATTGTGAGATTCTATCAGTGAGTTTCGGCTGTGCCACTCATCCACCATTGGGTGAGCAACAGGGATCAGAGTGGGAATTCAAAGAGGGCAATCTAGAGTTTAGAAGAAAGCAAAAGTTATCAAAGCCAATAATTTGAAGTATATGAAGCCCAGGAATTATGACAAATACATATTGGACAATTATACTGCACTAGGCTGTTGGAAGTCAAGGGTGTTGCTTCGAGGACTAAGCTATACCTGACCCAAACCATGGTATTTTAAATCACTGCACATGCATGTGAAAGTTGAACATTGAATAAGGAAGACCAAAGAAGAGCCAATGCATTTGAATTATGGTGCTGGAGAATATTGAAAGTATCATGGACTACCAAAAGGACAAACAAGTCTGTCTTGGAAGAAGTACACCCAGAATGCTCCTTAGAAGCAAGGACGGTGAAACTTCGTCTCCCGCATTGGGCATGTTATCAGGGAGACCAGTTCCTGTCGTGCTTGGTAAAGTAGAAAGCGGCAAAACAGAGGAACAGCCTCAAGGAGATGGGTGGACACAGTGGCTGCAGCAATGGGCGCAAACATAGACTTGGGAAGATGGCCCCATATAGAGTGATGTTTCTTCTTCTGTTGTTCATGGAGTTGGAACCACCGTGTGTGTGTGTGTGTGTGTGTGTGTGTGTGTGTGTGTGTGTGTGAACCTATGGGAGAGTTGCACAAAACAAACACGAGGAAACCATAGACTTTACTTCCTCCTGTTAGTTGAGCAAAGAACACAAATGAGGTTTGACTAAAAGGAAGGGAGAACCCACATGAGGTTGGGCAGTACATGGCTCCAGCCCAGTTCCTCATTCGATTCACATTAGCGTGCTTCTCCCCTTGAAGCCTGTCTAGTGAGCATGTGCAGTGAGATGACCTAGTTATGCATTTCCATTGTCTCACCAGCTTGACAAGTCAGTGTCACTTGCCCGCAAGCACCTTCACTCAAAAAAGGTAGACGCTCACCTGTTTGATTGCCTGGACCGGAAGCCGTCTTGGGCAGGTGCTACTGAGATATTTCGCCTTGCTCTTGTCTTTGGCCAAGAGGTTGGCCATGTCCATGGGGTAGAGTCACAGTGCTTATTACCACACCTCCCTCTTTGGGGAGAGGAGGATCAGTTTAGTTGAAAACTTGGAATGACTGGGTGGGGGGGGTGGGGGCGGTGCTCCACTCCGTGCAAATATGTCTTTGAAGAAAGGCCTGGCTATGCACTTCTGTTAAGATGACAGCCAAGAAAACCCTATGGTGAACATAGTTCTACTCTGACACACGTCATTTGGGGCTTTTTGTTTGTTTTAATCATATACCAAAATGACTGAATTAAGGGGCCCAAAGTGAGGAGTCATGCTTTTGTTTTTCTGTATTTTCCAAATTTAGTCAACAGTGATAGGCTTATTGGATAATTCTGTAGATCTTAAAAGAATATTTGTTAATCTACGAGGGGCTCAGGACCATGGTAGGCATAAAATATAAATGCAGGGAGGCACAGAAGAGCATGCATCTAGAGATAAATCCATTCTACCTGTCTTGGTTGAGTGGCAGACAATTGGGAAGGCAGGTGAACTGAAACCTTGACAATCTTCTGCTTCACAACAAGGATCTCATTGGAAAGACACGATGTAGCCTGCAGACTTCAAGTAGGTGGTCCAGACCCAGTGGTGTGGTCTCTGTGTAAACTAGCCACAGTACAAAAGCAACTCAGTCTTAGCGGGTAGCTTCTGTAAGCTCATGTTGTCAGCAGCGTTTTCTGTGAAACATGCATTTGCTTTACACACCGCAGTCAGGCAGATCTTGGAAAAGGCTACATGATTGTAAGCATCTTACCTCTAGGTCACAAGTTAATAACACAGAAGACTGAGCTGAATTCATTTATTTTTTAAGTTTCTTCTCACTGAAATTAAGTTTCCTCTCACTGAAATTCTTCCATCTCTCTGTTGTTGTTGTTGAAAATTGTATCGTTGTAAAAAAACAAGAGCACATTTGTCCAGTCAACATTGTTCATGTGTGCGATTCAATAAAGCAGTGCTACAAGCTGTGGTGTGGACCCCTCACCCCGTTCCCTTTTGAAGGTCAAACGTTCGTTCCTTTGTTTGTACAAACAGTTATTCAAGCAATACTTGCTCGAAACCAAGAATATATCAAGCATTGAGAAACTTGTCTTTGCATATGACACGGTATAATGGACCAGACTTAATAATGAATCTTTCTTTTGGCTATGGATGGGTTGAGAGTGTAGTCTCACAATGCCTTGGGCCTAGCAAAGCATCACAAACCCTAGTTCTCCCAGCAGTACCGATGATTCTTGCGACTCACACAGACCGACAGGAAGGGTAGAACTGTCCCGGGTTTCCGAGACCATGACTCTTGGCAGGAGTAGACAGTCTCTTCTTTCTCCCACAGAGTAATTCTTGGTGTCAAGTTGCTGATTTTGCACTTAGCAACAGTATACGACCAGAACTCCAGGAACCCTGTGGAACATATATGGCTGCCCATGTGAATTTCTGAGACTGCCATGTCCACAGTAGCAGGAAGCCTCTTCTTCCTCCCCTGGAGCCACTGGTGGGTTTGAACGAGAGACCTTGCAGTTGGCATACCTCCCCAGCAGTACATTGTTCATTCAGCGGAGGGAAAGGCTATCTAGTGGGGCCCTGCTGTCTGCCACAGGAGCGGGGGTGTATGGATGGCACATTTGGGTCACCATCCACCTTAGTGCTTGCCAGACTTGATGTTCTTTAGCAAAGTGAAGGTGAACTGGAGCGTGAAGGGGTCCTTTTGAACAAAGGCTCTAATCATTCAGAAAACGCTCTTTGCTTTTTTTGTTGTTGACATCGTGCCCCATTCTATTAAAATGGAATTCCTGTCCACTGCTGACATCTGTGGTGATATTTGCATTTAAGGGAGGGTGGGGTTTTTTTTCACCCCCCTCCCACCCACCACCTCCAAGGCCCTGGGTAGTACTAATCATTACCATGCTTGTCTGCTACCCAAAGAGCCAGAAGTTTGAGTCCATCTAAAGATGCCTCCGAGAGAGGACTGATGGTTGACGTCTGAAGCAGTTGGGAAGGTTTGGGGAACGCTATGAAAAGCTAAATCATTATGAGCTATTATTTCCCCCATGACTTTCCTCAAAAGTAGGAACAGAAATATCAACTGTTCTTTCATTTCCTTTTTAAGTAATGCAGTCTGACATATAAGAGTTGAAAATACATAAGCTGACGGCCATCTCGGTAACGCCCTTTGATTATTCCAGATGCCATCGTCCTTCTTTAGCCACCCTCACCTTGAACCTGTTTCTATTTTCAGACCATTTTGGAGGTGAACAAGTCATCCTGGCCATGTCTTAGGTTGTAAGTTGGGCTACTAACCAGGTTAGCAGTTAGAATCCAGTAGCCCCTCCCTCCAAGGGAGAAAAATGAGGCTTCCGATTCCCACAAAGGCTATCCTCCGACACCCAGAGGGTGAGTTCTGTCCCATCCTATACGGTCAGTATGAGCCAGAACCTACTTGATGGCACTGAGCTAGAGGTTCGCATTTTAGGTACACTACTGAAAGGACAACCCTTAGCCTATTCATTTTAGCAGGACTTTTTCCCTTTTGATTCATTCGACAGATATCTGTCGAGTACTTCTCTGTCCTCATCACATCGCTTTGGGGACCTTTTTCATAGGGCTTCACGCAGAGCTACTTAGGATTACCAGTAATGTCGGCTCAGGAAAGTGCCTGGGGGCTTAGAGCAAGACACAGAGAAAGAAAACATTGAGAAACAGCCAGTACAGAGTACACCGCCATCACCATCACCACCACCGTCCATTGCATTGCGGTGATTCCAACGCATAGCAACCGTATCAGACAGAGTGGAACTGCTCTGTGGGCTTTCTGGGGACATGAATCTCTGCAGAAGCTCACTGCCATCCCTCTCTCCCTCGGGGTGACGGGGACCAACCTGCCGATGAGCCTCACACCCCTTCACCCAGTATGCTATTCAGGTTCCTTCAATACAGAATAAGCACTTAAAAAAGAGTAGCTAAATAAATCATTCATTCATCCTAAAAAGGCTAAAATTATTTTGTTTTAAGAATATTTGATCAAGTAAACTCCTTGTTCTTTTATTTGGTCTTCGAATCATCGTGGTGTTCGACTTTATACACATTTGATTGGATGTAACTGCTATGTTTTTCTATGGTTTCTGGGTTACAAACTATTTTCTATTATAGCTCATTAGATTTCTTGATGGTTTTTTTCATTTTTACAATGATCCCACAAAACTTATATAATAAAGTTTAAAAATCTTTTCTAATATAAGGTACATTGGACAGGGACCATGTTTTTTTTTATTCAGTATTCTACCTCAACTTTTCACAGTGTCTGATATATGTTAATCAATATCACATATCATATATATATGTATATATAGATAGTGTCTATATACATGTTACATGGGCACATATATATTATAGGGTCGCTATGAGTTAGCATCAACTTGATGGCAATGATTGAATCTCAAACAGTTCATAAGAAAATGCAATGAAAAGATCATGAAAGTTTTCCATGAAGCTTTGTAAAATCCCTTGTATATGTGTTTATTTGTTAACAAGCAAATTGTTGGAGCAGGTAAGAGAACAAGGAACTTTCCAGATGTTTATAAAGCTGGAAAAAGGGGAAATGCACCAGGAAAGTCACAGAAGTTCCTCGCTCACTCACCCCGTTCCTGAAAAAGAAGAAGATTCGGGCAAGCTATAGCAAAACGACACCCTAATTCCCTAGTACAGAAATGGGCTGGCTTGGGCTCACATGTTGCTGAGTTCTCATGCTTATTCCTCTCCATTCACAGCTCCAGAGGATGAGGAAGACTGCACTTCCGTCACCGACCTGCCCAACTCCTTTGACGGAGTCATCACCATCAGTAAGTATGTCTTTGCATCTTGGTTGGCTTTTTCCATTCTTGGGAGCGGGACTGTGCTTTTTACTCCAATAGAACAGCATTCTTCGCCTAAGGCTGGTGAGAGTTAGATGTGGTTCAATAGCTCTTCCTCTTTCTCTGCTGTGGATTGAGACTGCTACCATCATACCTTGTTCCTCAAATTTCAGTTACTTGAAAACCACAACCACATTTACTTTTTCAGACCCACGTACACAGCACTACCATTTTTCTGGGTCTGTTTCTTTTCTTTGACCTGGCTCAGACCTGGCTTTGACCTTGCGGTTGCTGGTTGCCACCACGTTGGCTCCCACTGGCGTACAACAGGCATGATGTATAACGGAAGGCAGCACTGCCCAGTCCTGCGCCATCCTCGCAGTCATTCCTATGTTTCAGCCCATTGTTTCAGCCACCACATCAGCTCATCTCACGGAGAGTTTTCCTCCTCTTTACTGACTTTCCACTTTGCCAAACATGATACTGCTCTTTCCCGGTAACGTGTCTAAAGTAAGCATGACAGAGTCTCACTCAGAGTAGATACTCAATACATGTGCCTTTTTTTTTGTTTTGTTGGTCTCCACAGATATCAAAGTCTAGCTTCTCCTGTAAATTATCGATAGTACACGGAGGGCTTCAATAGGGTCCTGGGATAATTGGATTACCTTCTAAATGCACTTTTTCCATGAACACTTTGAAGCGCCCTGCTGTTTCCTTCGGAGCTCTGGTGGCACAGTGAATTACATATCGGTCTACTAACCACAAGGTCTGTAGTTCAAAACCACCAGCCACTTCTAGGAAGAAACATGAGGCTTTCCGCTCTGGTAAAGATTTACAGGCTCACAAAATGACAAATGTTGCCTGAGACCGTTATAAAAGAAAAAAAAAATCAAAATGATGGAGGGTTTTTTTTCACACCAAAAGATAGAGACTTTGATGGTTCTCAGGGGAAGAAAGTGGGGAAGTGAATGTGAAGCAATCGGCCAGCGGGCAGACAGGTGCTAGCTATGGTGACGATGGGCAGGTTGTATACAAAAGGAAGAAGAGAGAAAAAGCCAGAGGACTCGACAAGCTATTGGAGGTTTGATAAGTTGCTTAAATTGATGAATAATTAAAAAAAAAGATGATCTGAAAACCTCTAACTAATTCATTGAAAGGGGGGAAAACCAAAACAAATGATTTACAGCCTTGGAAGCACACCGGGGCAGTTCTACTCTGTCCTAGAGGGTTGATGTGAGTCACATTGACCCTGATGGCTGTGAGGTTTGGGTTTGTAATCTCTTATCAAGGTTTCATTTGCAGAGATTATCAATGTGATAAAGAATTAGGGATTTTTATTTGCATGTATGTTTTATTACAAGTTCCAATTGAGCCAGATAGGTGGACCAAAAGAAATGCTTGGTACCAGCAATGCAATATGGCAAGAACTAATTTCCACTAAATGGACATTTGAATATACCATTGCCTGAGCCTTGAAGGCAATAAATCCTCCTTTCAGGGAGGAAAATTGAACAGATCCACCCATGCATCCTTGCCTCCTGTTCACTGTAGTCCTTTTGCTTGTTCAAACCAAAGCCTTTGATCTTCTTTCTGCACATCCAGGCTAGTTAAGTTCAAGGGTGGATTACACAGAAGGTGGCAGAGGCTCAGTCTATATTTACACATGGCAATTCCATTGCTAGGAAGAAGGGTTCACTTACACAGTTCAGAATGGCGCCTTAGAAAGAAAACGTCACAGATTAGAAATATAGCTACCTGTTCAGGTTCATGGCCATTGCAACTGGTACTTGGACTCCTTTCTGGAACAAGATAGAATTAAAAGCAATAACTTTTCTGCTTACTTAAGAAGGATGCATAGGGAACCGGGAGGGAGAATGATCATTTCTTGAATACCAGGCAGAACACTTTACATACAATGTATCATAATGCTTAAGACAACCTCACTCAGGGTCCCGTGTTCCTGAGTCACACCATGCCTGCCCTGGGGAAGCCCCTGGACCCATATTGCAAGCTCCTCTGCCTTACATCATGCACTCGTGTTAAGTGTTCCTTAGGGAACCAGTCACTCGATCCCGGCAATCCCTGCTCTGGGAGTCCCACTGGTAACGATATTATATTGATCTGTCACCAGCCATGTTTATGTCACGGTCGTCTTCGATTGCTCATTCCCCTTTAAAGGCTCTGTGTCCCAGAAAACCCTTGGACATCATTATGACCTTGGGCTCATCATCTCCCCTATCCAGAGGGCGTGTCTGTGGTTGTCTTGTTCTTGTCCCCTTTAAGACTATCAGAGTTCTCTTTGTAGAGAACAAACAGCAACCCCATTCAGAAAGTAGTCATATCCCCACTTCGAAGGAGGAAACTTGCAGGGAGAGCTGTCCGGCCTAGAGCTCAGCTTGGGTTCAAACGTAGGGGCGCTTAAACGCATCCACCTTTCCCCTTCCTGGTCCAATGCCCAGAAGGTACACTCCCTTAGTAGACCAGCTACCCTATCCCACCAGGAGATAGATATGCAGGGAAGCATGTGTTTCTTTGTAAGAGAGAAAGTAGAATTTAGTAGTGTCGTGGCGTGGGTTACCATCGGACTGCTAACTGTGAGGTGGCAATTTGAAACCACTCCACTCCATGGGTGAAAGATGAGGCTTTTGACTCCCATAATCACAGGGGCAAATCTACCCTGCCCTCTAGGGTGGCTCTGAGCAGAGACTGGCTCAACGGCAGTGATCTTGGTTCGGTTCGGTTGTGTGACAATCCAGGGTGTTTCCTGTGAAGTTCTGAATGCGCCTTCCCTGTCTCTCAGCTATTGTTAACCGTGACGGCACCCGCTACACCAAGAAGGGAGAGTACAGGACCAACCCTGAAGACATCAATCCCAGCAACCCCAGCGACGACGACGTCAGCAGTGGCTCATCCATCGACCGGAGCACTTCAGTTTCCAATATCTTCTACATGAGTTTTCCCACCAAAGACCCGACTCCAGACCTCACCAGTCGTTGGGGCCCTGACACCACTGACAGCGCGCCGGCTACCAGTAAGGAGAATGAGTCCTTCCCCTGCAAACTGCCTCCTCCCGTCGTGGGTGGAACGTACTCTAGAGACGGGTGACAGCATCTGGGGAGGTGGACCGCTGGGTCCTGGTGCTCTGTGTGCATTGTTGACGACTGTCTACACTTTTTGTTTTCCCCACCCTCCTATTGGAACAGCTCCCCTTTTCCTCAGACCCCTGGGGATAGCTTGGGTTCGAACTTGGGGACATTCCTACTTTCTGGCCCCACCCAAACCTGAGACAAAAGCTATTTCCATTCCGTGTGTTTCCTTCATGTTTCATCAGCCCTTGGATAAAACTGTTTTCCAGCATTGGGGATCATGGAATATACATGCCATTCCATCTGGTACCCTTTAAACATTTTACTTAACTTTACGTGGGGGATTTTCTTCCCCTTTGACCTTGTCTTAGTTGTATAATGTGCAGTGGTACTCACAAGCCATGGTTTTCCAAACAATTCTCTAGTTTGGGGTTAAAGGAAGTCTAGCTGGAGGACTTAGTGGGTCAAATTAAATCAGCTTAAGTGTTCTCTAAGCCAGCCGGCTGGGGAGAGCTCTCTGCTGTTCCTCCTCTGGTTTGTGGGGGCTATTTGTTGCTGGGAACCACACGCAGGGAGACGTGTAAACCCTGCACTAGCTTTTGTGGGGTTTGTCTTTTGGACTTCAATTTCCTGGGCCAGTATTTACAGACCCCCTTTGGTCTCTTTCTTCTCTTCCCTCATTTCCTAAACCCCGCCACCCCCCCAGCCACCTCCCCAGCCACCCCCCACCCCCGCCAGCTCCTTGTGAAGCAGCTTTCCAGTCTGGCTGGGCTCTTTCTGTGGAGGATTACGGGCACCGGCATCTAGGGCTATTCTCCTAATATGGTCTGGATCTTCTCCATTCCTGGCTATGGCTCCTGAGGGGTGGACCTCTGGCCTCCAGTTCCTGAGGCCGAAGCAGCCTGGTTAGTGAGGAGTCACAATGGGGCCCCTTTCTTTCCCTTGTGTCACCCAGAAGCCAGGGAAACCCCAAGAGCCTTGTGAGTTATGCATCCTTTCTCCACAGCGCCTAACACTCTGGTTGCAGCTTGCTGCAGGCATGAGATCCAGCGGCCTGTGATTGCACTCACTCCCGGATGATGCCCCAAAGCATTGCAAAACCAGCTCTTGTGCGACCGCCCACACTGTCTAGGACTGCCGGCTCCGCAGACATTGATGGCAGGGCTATAGACAAGAAGCCTGTGCCTCTCTCAGCATCCCGAGGCAGTGCTGCTTGCTGCTCCTTGAGTTCTCTGCCTGCTTAAAGCAGCCACACTGAATGTGTTTATTACCAGGCATTGCATTTGGTCAGATATTGGCACGCATGGCAGTTAATGATCTCACCATGAACCAGAACTGGCCTGCTCTCCAAAGCCCTTTTCCCACCAAAGTAGACATTGTTGACAAAATACATTCTTAGGGGGAACGAGCTGAATGTAATACTCAAAACTGAAAATAGCCTGCAAGAAATTGTAAATATTTCTGTGTCCTTTGGAAAAGACAAAGAAGGCATTATAAAAGGTCTTCACAAAGTTTGGGAGAATTCCATTATCTTTTAATTCCTCTTTCCTGCAAACTTTGTGACGCTCCCTCATGTATGGACAGTCATAGCACATCCTTTAGGGACTGAGCCGTTCCTGCCTAAGTTAGTCAACAAATAGGTCTTGAGGCTCTACCATGGTCCAAGCCCACACTAGATGTTGGGGATCCAGGGGAAAGCACTGCTAGAAAGCTCTATTGAAGTAAAGCTTAGTCAACTAATCATTCCCTCAACAGTGTTTGCTGGGATAGATACTGCTCTCCTTTTTAGAGATGCTCATGACTGGATAATCCTGATCCAAACCTACTCTCATGGAGCCCAATGCTAGTTCAGAATTCAAGGACAAGGAAAGGGGGTGCTATGAGACTTTACTAGAATATGGTTCGGGATGTGGACTGAGAAACTAATAGTGCTTCTCTCCTTCTGAGCCCTGGTGGCAAAATGGGTTGCACAGTGGGCTTCTAACTGCAAGGTCCACAGTTCAAATCCAGCAACTGCTCAATTGGAGAAAGATGAGGCTTTCTGTTCCTTTAAAGAGTGACAGCCTTGGAAACCCACAGAGCAGTTTGGCCCTGTCCTCAAGGGTCCCTAGGAGTTGGGATCAACTCAATGGCAGTGAATTTGGGTTTCCTCCTTCCAGAGCACTTGGCTAATTTCCTTAATTATTTGAAAAGCAAAGAGCAAACTCCCTGCCATTGAGTCCATCCCAACTCGTAGAGAACCTACAGGAGAGGGGAGAACTGCGCCGCTGCATTTCCGAGACTGTAACTCTTTACGGGAGTAGAAAGCCTCATCTTTCTCCTTTGGAGGCGGCTGGTGATTTTGGATTGCTAACCTTGCTGTCAGTACCCCGACATATAACCCCTACGCCCCCAGAGGAGAGATTAATTTGCCATCAGGGATGAGGTTGAGTCTCTGGTTACCTCCAACAGAAGCTCCAAACAGATCAAAGAAAAATAGGTGGAAACTTAAAAGTACTATATTGTATACTACCAAAAGTTTGTATTGCAAGTTCCAGAATAGAACCCTATTGTCTAATCCCACGCCTTGTGACGGTTGGGCTGGGAGTTGGAACTAATTGAGAGGAGTGACTGTAAAGCCACCCTAATGCGTGCAGGAAGGCAGAAGTCAAGAGGAGGGCTGGCGGGGAACCTAGAAGCCTGCCGTCAGCTTGGCCGCCTCATTCCCTCCTCTAGGATCCTGAGCGGGTGGCAATGGGAAAGTCCAATAAGAACAACCCTCTGAAGAGTTTTAACTTCCAAAGGGCTTTCCACTGTAAGTCTTACTCTCGGAAGAACTATCCTGGAGGAGGGTGATGAGCCTCTTTCCCCGGGTGATCTGGAACTCTTTGGAATCCAGAAATCTAAAACTGATTCAGGAGGCCAGCTCTGGCTTGGAATGCTCTGTTTTCTTGTCTTCTGGGTGTCAAAGGAATCGTTTTGCTTGTGTTTTTCAGTCTTGGTCTGATAGGGCCTGCTTGGGTGGGCAAAATTGGAAACCCTGCTAGCTGAGCAGTAGCTTGTTCCATTTCCCCCTCTCACACAAAGCCTTTCAGAAAACCAGAGGGCCCGCTGGTTTCTTGCTTGCATTTATTTTCTGTTTGTATGCTAGCTGGTATACTACTGGGTGGGGAATTTTGTACCTTTAATAAAGTTTCGGAAGGTGTCTGTGGACTTTTCCAGGTAATCCTCAGGTGGCTCTGGGGACATCATGGGTGAAGTTGGTGCTTATGTCTCTGTTCTGAACTAGCATCGTCTTTAGAGGGTAAAGTTTATTGTTCGGGGTGTTGATGTTTGGCGTGTATAAAATCTAGGGCTGAAAAATGGGTGTGTTGAGTCTCAGGAGTTTCAACGATAGGCCACCTGAAATCATATGAAAAATTTTGATAGTGTGTTTATGTAGTATAAATCACTTTCTTGAGGAGAGACGCTGTGAGTTAGATCAAGTTTTCAAAGCGATCTATTACCCCAAATGAGGGTTTGTTTGTTTTGTGTTTTTAAAAAACAAACAACACCTAATCTGGTTCAGATGGTTACCCTGGTGCAATTTTCTGTTCTGCTGTGATAAGAAAACATATACTTGACTCAAGTCCAACTTGAAGATCAGAAGAGAGATGATAAGTTGAAAACGTTTACAGGTGACCCTTTTTGTCGTCTGATTAGAGTCTGGAAGGGCCCCGACCTGGCTCTTCTGTCTCTCTCTTCTGATAGCACATCTGAATGAGAACAGAGTGGAGAACAGAAAGCGGTCAATGAAAACTTTCTCCGAATTCAAAATTCTGTGAACACACACCTTTTAAAGAAGTTCCTACTCAATGATAAAGCTTGAAGTGAGGTTGATTGGTGTAGGTGGAGTTTTGAGATGCCACTTGGCATAAAAATAGTACCTTGCACCATGCTGGACAGACCATAAAGAAATTAGCAAACACTTCCAATGATGCCCTAAGGAGAAATCAAAGCCAATCAATGAAATGTTACTCTGAGGACATTTGATTGACTGGCTACTTGGTCATCAAATCATGTAGTTAGAAAATCTCTTTCCATACAGTTTGGATATTGCTAGCTGATTTTGCTCTGAGTCTGTAATCAGGGAGCACAGTTTAAAAAATTAATGGCATCGAGTTGCTATCCATCCAGAATTTGCATTTCTGAGGTTGCTCAGAGATTCTGGATGATTTTAGAAGGCTGCAAAGATAAAACGAGGCCTTGTTTTTTTCATCTTCATTCCAGAAAAGATACAGCTGTTATATATAGTCAGAGTCAGGTAAAGGTTTTGCAGCGAGATCTCACTAAATGCTGTTTTCGTAATTGATCCAGTTCCCTCAACCGCACGCTTACACAGCCATGCAACCACCAAGGAGCAAAGCAGTCAGCTGTGGTCCTGGTTTGGTAATTCACAGCCTGGGACTCAGGATGTCGCCACGGCAGCAACGACAGGTAAACGATGACCTCTTTTGCTTATCGGTTGTCCAGAATGGCATGTCGGGCCTTCCCTGTGAGGGAAGAGGGCGCCCATTGAGGTGGCCCTCTCTCCTTCACTGCTCTTCGTGAGAACAGGCTGGAGTACCATGTCAGTGATCAGGAAGGGCTCTGCATCTGGGAATATGACTGGACACCCCTCACGATCCTATTTGCTCTTCTTTGGAAATAAACGTAGAATTCAGAATGATTTTTCTTGCAGAGACTTTGACTATGAGAGTCACTCAAAGCATTTCTTCTAGAAAGAAGCATATTATGAAATTCACATTGCTGCGTCCTGTTGGTTTAATTAGCAAAGTTAATAATTAGAGAAACACTGATCCGTACCTGGACTCTGGTATGGACACATAGACCTTCAACTGTCCAGTGTAGGAAAGATGGACTGCGCAATGTTAGCATGGACACCTCCAACAAGCTCTCTAGATGGTGAGCCATTAGCTCTACATCCCGGCAAAGGGTTCCGACTTGGGAGCTTGTAGGTAGGGGAATAGTCACGATCTATCATCACAATGGAAGATTAAAAGGAGATCTTCACATTTTCACTTTCATTGATGAAGGATATTACCATATTTCAAAATTATTGGGCATTCCTTCTATAGACAGAGAGCAGTAACCCTAGCCCACCACATTTGTTCATCTGATCAGGCATTGAATAAAATGAATCCTTCATTTCCATCAATAATCTTGTAAGGAAAATCATGCTGATGTTATGGTTGTCATATTGTAATGATTAAGATGATGCTGGAGAGAGAGAGAGATGGAGAAAAGAGATTAGAGGAGAATGGTATGAAATAAAGCTGTAGTTTAAAATATTTCTAAAGTTTATAGAGCAAATAGTTTTGGAGGAAATGATCTTCTTGGTGGTGTTTCCTCTTGGGTCATTTCTGGGCTTTTTAAAAGAAAAAAATGTCCAGGACTCTCTTGAGGGAAGAAATCTTTTCGGATAAAATAAGCCTCACTCACGTTGGGATGTGGGAGTTCAGTGATGGCTTCAGTCTCTGCTTTCAGGGTGTGGCCTATTCTTGTCTGATGTTCTTCTGATGCACATCATGTATGCAAGAGTGGCAGCCTTGGAAAATTAATTTTTTTTCACTTGTGTCTACTTCTGTTGCTTTTGTTCTTTGTTAGTGGGGACCTTGGTTACATCATCCGTGTCTTTCCTGAATGAGTGTCCTATTTTTTAAAAAGGGAACTTTAAGTGTCCTTGTTCTCCTTTGCAGCACGTAGTGTTGATATATACAAAACTGACGGTGGGTAAGGTGGGTAGGAGATCAGGACTCCAAATTGAGATCAGTGGAGAGGCATCGTTTATAAATATGCTTTGTGTGTCATTCTTTCTATGTTGGGCATTGCTGGGATTATGTGTCTAGAATTGCTGGCAGAAATATCATATCCCAAATTATAGCATCATGATATTGGTTAGCCAAGAGAGCCTGTGTAGAAGATCAGGGGACTAGAATTCTGGAGAATTGGGTTTTAGAATCATAGAATATCAGACTTGGAGAGAATTTTAAATTGTCTGGTTCAAGAAAATCTTGTAACTTAATACGACGTTACTTCCAAGCAACTGTGCAATCTCTTTTTGGTAGTGGGAAAATAACACTTATGAAGAAACTCATTGAATAGTTCATATTGCTACTTTTAAGATCCAGTATTTGTAAAGATATCTATCTCCCTGAAATTCTCTCCCATGGGACCTAGGTTGGCCTCGTGGGAACACAGACAAAACATTTCATCCCTCTTCTGGTTAGGGATTCCGGTGTTGCTGTCAGGTAAAGTGTTGGATGGCTAACCATTAAGCTTGGGGATTCAAACCTGGTAGCCACCACCCAGGGAAAGTTGAGGTTATTTGCTCCTGTGAAGATTTATAGCCTACTCAGGGCTGCTACAAGGCAGAATCCACTCAATGACATTATAACTTTTCATAAATACAAGCACGGCTCTCACATTCTCCTGGAGACGTTTCTGTTGCTAACTAGATTTCTGGATCAGGAAAGAACAGAAGGTCTGTCCTGTCCAACACATTTAAAAAAAAAACCTTTAAAAGGAGGAGCATGAACCAGGTGACATTGAAGGTCTTTCCATGTCTGCATTCTGTGAAGTTAAGGTTGGGCCGTTGGCTTTTCTTTCTTTCCACCTTCTTGATCAAGTTCTCTTGCGTAGTAAAAGGGTGAAAGTAGACACAAGGCTATTCCTGAGGACTTGATCATTAGCCTTTCAATAGTTAATTCCGTCATAATTGCAACAGCTTGGACCAGCCCTGCTGGTACAAGAACTGAGAGGTGAGATGGCAAAGACTGGTTTCATGGTGGCTTCAACCATCATGTCCCACGAATGATCCCCACACCACAACAAAAGTGGCTGGTAATGAGTTATTGATATCTCACTTATATGGTTTCTTGATCAACTTCAATTATTCTCAATGACCGTTGGGGATATTGTCATAATCTAAAATCCATTCTGGTCTCACGAATCTCTGTAATCATTTCAGAAGGGCATGAAATCTGAGATCTGTATGTTTAGGGGTTTACATTAATAAGCAGATTTTTTCTTTCTATACTACACAATTAGCACAGCTTAGGAGGAGGCTAATATGGAGACTGTGAAAAGAGGCAGATCTTTCTGGATGGCCAGATACAATTTTAATTATGAAAGATTGTACATGTGACTTCTTAAATAATCTGTCATAAAAAATAGATAGTAAGCTCTAACAAAAGATAGGACATATAGAGCAATAGAACTATTATTGGGATAGACATTAGTTATATGAAAAGCCAAAATTCAGCCTTGAGTCCCACTCAATATTGGAAGGCCCATATCAGGGGTGACATTTCTACATGGATTACTGAGCAGTTTCCATTTTCTTTTCTATGACTATATCCAAGAGGAAAACTAGGAAATTTCTTGAGATAGCAATTACAGTTCACTGTAATCAAGCCTTGTGGTTGACTAAAATAAATGCCAATGATTGTTTCCTTATTCATTGACTATCCTTTTTTGCTGTAGGCTAAAGTATCGCTGGCAACTCCATTGTGCCTTTCATTTGCACCCAGCTAGATTGATCTGATACTAGAGAGGGTTAATAAGTGACCTAGCATACTGAACACACAGTCTCAAATTTGAGAAATTATTGACATGGGTTATAGTCTAAGGCAGTGTTTCTCACGATGGGCCATTGCATCCCCTGAGGGGCGTGTGTGCTGGGGTGATCCAAAGGGACTACAATAGCAGATACCTACACTGTGCCTGGAATATGGACCATAATACACAAGCCTTTGGTTGCCAGAGAGTGCTGGGTACCTTTTTCTGTAAAGAGGGCTATAGGCCAAATAAGTTGGAGAACCTATGATCTAAGGTTTTCCTGAAGGTGATTTCCAAAAGCATAGTTGAAACCTTTCAGCCAATTCTTGTCTTTGTAGCTGTAGTGACATAGGTTAATAAGTTAGTAATAAATATATATGAAATCATGGGGAAATTGGAAATTTTGAATGGTTTTTCCTTTATCTTCTTTCGTGGGGTTATGTCCATATTTATGCTTTTAGCTTCCTTAAAGATTTTCAGTGTAAATGCATACGTTGGCTCTCGAGATCGGGACATAGGAATTTGGAGTCTTCAAGCCAACTAACTCTTTCTTCTTATAACGTTGGTCGGCCTCTGTGCTTAACTTTCTTCCTTCGACAAGCGGGTTGTTGGGCATCCAGCTCAGCCACTGACGTTCGTCACCACAACAGGTACGGATTCAGATACCAGGTCCGCAGGCCCGGAGCCACATGAGGAAAATGAAGATGAAAGAGACAACCCCCCCAGTTTTTCTGGATCAGGCATTGATGATGATGAAGATTTTATCTCCAACACCAGTAAGAAAAATCAATTACAGTCAAATCATTTATTCAAGGCCTACTGATTCGCATAGGTGTCTACCTTGGGGAGTGGTTAATATGAAAAATGAATTTGGTTCAATGATTTGATGAGGTTATGGAGGCATAAATGGAATGGTTCAATGAAAGCCAAAATATATTTGGAGGATCATTGGGGAAAAGGGTGTTTTTTGTTTTTTAATAAAATCCTAATTCTTCTTACTCTTCCTATTTCTTTAGCTATGGGGTCTGCTGCTGCGACTTTTCTTTTTAACAACTAGAGTAAACTTTGAAGTTTTGAGTGTTGCCAGAGGGTGACATAATAAAACATTACAATAAATCTTCATTGTTGTATCTCTTGCAGTTGGTTCTGCGAATACTAAAGAAAAATGTCAGAGCCCTTGCCCTCAAGGGACTCCTAGTCTACTGGAACAATAGGCGTGGACAATGTGATGACGAGATTAGCCATTAGAAGGTGTAGATAAGCCTAAATTGAAAGCACAGAAGACCCTAGAAAGGTCTACAAAATGGAAACACAACTCAGGAATTGTCAAAACTTTTTTGAGGGTAAAGGAATAAATAGATGTTTTAATGAATGAGTTGGCCACCACTGTAACAGAAAGGGAGGTCACAACACCTGAGCGTTAACAGAATAGGGTCAATTATTCAAAGCAAGGACCACTACATAATAGGATCAGAAGTGGGACAATAAGCATACATACCTTTTTGAGAACAAAGGGATAGGAATCGAGCGAGAAAATGCCGTTTAAAAGATTCCAATGTGCAAAGCCTGTGGCATTGCCTGTCAGGGGCCTGAGCTTCTAACCATATCTGTACTGACTTCAGACTTTCCCTCAAACTCCCGAGCCTGACCCCACCATCGCTCTGCTTTTCCTTAGAGAAGGTGAGCCTTTGAATGGTGCCAGTCAGCTCTTGGAGCTTCCATAACCAGACAACTCCTGAAGTTAGAGTGGATTCCAAAAACACAGCTTGGGTCTTAAAAGAATTTAAGCATATGGTGTTAGTACAATAGACACTCACGAGCAATGAGGTGTTTCGTGTCTAAACCTGCGTGTGGTGTCTTCCTTAGACTAGACACTCCACAAAGCATAGTACATGGGGGAAAGGAAATCTTTGTAGTAACTTCAGTAAGGAACATTACTAACTTTAGTAACTTCAAAAAGAAAAGCAAATGACAAAACACACTGGAACCTGTTAGCCTGGCTCCTGGTTTCCTCTGTGGTCCCACCTTTCAATTGAGTCCACCAGTAAAGACAGTTAAAGAGACAAATGGATGGCATCAAATAGCCCAACTTGGAAATAATAGCTATGGTCTAACAGGAAGGGAAAACCTGGTGAGTTTTTGTTGTTGTTTGGTTTTATCTCTGTGGCACATTTTCAGCTCACCTTTCTATTTGGCACCTGTGCACCCAGTTTGGCAAATGGCCTCCATTCTTTGGGAGGGCTGTGATAACTGTCAGTTTTCATGCTCTCAGGAAATACAGTTAACAACTCTCAGTAGAATTTTCTTAGCTTGTGAAACAGAACTGATAGCACTACTATTTATATTGCTAAATATATCTCTATAAACTCTATCTCTCTATCTCTCTCTATATCTATCTGTCTATATCTCTGCCTATATCTATATATCATCTATCATCTATATCTATATCATACATATCTATCTCTATCTCTATCTATAATTTGGATATCAATATAAAGTTTCAATGAATTGCATTGGGTTTGTCAAAAAATCATTTCACAAAATACATTGATTTAGATTTTTCCCATGATCCCTCTCTGTGGTTCATCCCCTATTCTTGATGTAATGCTTCGGGTGACTGTGTGAGCGCACTGGTGGATGTATGGCCCCTTTGGTGTGCCGCTATGGTGGTGGGTGATTGCCTGTGCGCTTTCTGAACTGACTGTCTTTTTGCCTTTTATTAGCTATGATGACCCGCTCATGATATACTTGGTATTATTTGATAAGAAATCCAGGGGTGTTTGACAAATATTCGCACATGTATATCTGAATCATACTGATATTCTAAGCAGATTTTGTCCCCCTCAAAATCATCTACAGGAAAACTCTGGTTGCTCTAAGTGTTTTTCCCACAGTAAAATCTCTAACAAAATACAGTGACCGCCATGCTGTAATTTTCACATCCCCATCTCTTTAGTCTGAGGAAGTAGGAGGATCTACGCAGAGCACACTTGCCAGGGATGCAAACTCTTGGGGCTTTCGAGGATGGAGGGCCCCCACAGACGGCATGGATGTGCACAACTCGGATGTCTTTCGTTATCCTTGGTGGCGGGCTGCTGGTTGCAAAGGTCTTCTTCCTCGCGCTGCAGCTTCTCTGGCTGCTTTCTCTGGAAGATCTCATGTTCTGAACCTGGAAGTATTCTATAACAGAATGCAAAGGACACTGAGATGCTTTACAAGGTGACTGCCTCAAGCTGAAGACTCTCTCTTCTTTCTCTCCATTTCCACTCAAGTCATCTATATAACCTGCTGCAGGTGATTCAGCCTAGAGACTAAAGGAGGGGACAAGGTGCAAAACAAGTGGTGAAGGATCGAGAAATAAAAATGTTCTAATTGCTTCAATCATCATTATCACAGTTTCAACCACATCACGGCTGTCTCACTATACAAGACACGAGGACTGGAATCCATGGGACTCGGGCCTTTCACAACTCCAGACAACTACACCGATGACTGGTAATGGGTTATGTCAACTTCAATAAAGATCTCCCTATCCCCCCCGCCCTCAAATTCTGTGATACGGCCAATCATCAGGATTTCCTGGGAAATTTCAAAGGAATCCTATAACAGATTCGTTGTGTGCTTTCATGGGACCCCTCATGTCTGTCAATCATATTGTGTAGACATCGGTGTTTTATGTTGCTTCATTCTAAAAATGGATGCATTGAAATGATTTAAGGTGCTGCTCTTAACAGAGTGGTTATCATAGACTAACAAGTAATCATTGGACACTTGTGTGCTCATCGGTTTTCTCTTGGGAGTCATTAGTGAAACCATTGACAATTACTCAGAATAGTAGGGGTACTAGCTAGGCATGACAATGATTGAGAATCGTAGAATTTAGGCATACAGAGCGGTTAAAGAGCTTGTGCTACATCACGGAAAGACAGAACGTTAACGGTGGGTCAATAAAAAGTCACAGTGTATGCACTCATCGTTGCGACAGATCTGGACAGAAGTGGCATCAGTGCTCACGGAGAAAACTCGACCCAGGGACCGCAGCCTCCCCTCCTTCACCCTGAGCATCATGGCGACGTGGAGAGCCAGCATTCTACCAGCACAAGTAAGAAGGTGGCGGTCAGCAGGTCTAGCTTAGACAAGTTAGTGAAGTCATTCCAAAGAGCAGGGACCACTTTGGCTCTCTCTACTCTGTTCAGTCGTTTCTTTCATGTATAGAGCGTGAAAAGTTGCCAAGACTGCACGCACACGTTTTAGAAAGTGGAAATAATGCTAACTGTTCAGGTTATCCTAACATCCAAAATGTTAAAAAAAAAAAAAAAAAAAAAAGACATCTAATGTTTGTGTGAAAGGTTGCTTGAGGTTCTATCTTGATGGCGGTGGAGATGGTGGTGGTGTGTGTGTGTGTGTAAATGTACAGCAGATAGTGTGTTCTCTTGGGGCGTTCTATGGAAAGTGAAGCTGTCGTGTGCGATCTGGCAAGGGTAGGACTTGCCAAGTGAAACATTCTCTGGAATGCTTATTTTCTCTAAGGATCTTTGACGAATCCAGTTTCCTTTCCCCATTATGGTCCTCTCTGCATCAGATGAAGGCACCATGTGCTGTTCAGCATCAGTGAGTGGCTCGGATGATCGGTATTCTAATTCCACACCGCTCTTTTCTGTCTTTAGACACTGGTTAACCGAAGGCTGTGGTGCTCTCGTTGTTATTTCTATGTGTATACAAACGCCCTAGGTTTTCTCAAACAATCTCAAGTCTCAGAGACCACGGGGCTGAAAAAGAAAAGCCATTGTCATTGAGTCCGTTTTGACCCAGGGACCCTAGAGAACAGAGTAGAATGGCCCCCCAGGGCTTCCAAAGCTGTCATTCCCACTGAAGCAGACTGCCGCCTCTCTCCCGCAGAGGAGCTGGTGGATTTAAGCGCCTGACCTGTGGGTTAGCAGCTGAGCTCCTCACCATTGTCCCACCAGGGCCGTTACACAATGAGGATACAATTTTAGCAAGAAAGAAGGCTGTACTCTCTGTCATTAGTTCTCCGACAGACGGATAGCTGTCCTATTTGGAACAAAGGACGCTTTTGTTTTGTTGTAGCACTTTTACAACTCTGGTTCCACTATCATCTTCAGAGGTTTGAACATCCCTAAAGAAAAAATGTTTAAAAAATGACCAAGAGAGAAGTCCAAGAGAGAAACTGTAGGAGGTTGAGAATTCATGTCCCGCCACCCCCTAAAAACAAAACTGTTTCAGATATCAGCCAAGACCAGCTTACTAAGTTTTCTACACCTTCCACGGAGCACACCCAACAGGCCTAAACCTTAGTACGTTCCCCCAAGAAATGCAGCATGTACATCAGGGTGTCATGGACCGCGTTAACAAAGGAGTCAAAGGTTCTGTCCCAGTGCCCTCAGAATGCTAACATGATTGTTTCAAAATTATTTCAGAGAATGTGCACTTTCAAAACACTTGTGAGGCTTGGGTTGACTGGGTCTCCTAGCAAGGATGGGGGCATAATTATAAGGAAGGATCCTTTAAATGACCAGACATATGGAAATGGGAAAAAAAAAACCACAGCAATGTCTGTAGAAATTATCTTATTTATACTCACAAAACATAATGTTCTTCTAATTGGTGACCTGTGAGCTTTAGCAGATGAACAGTACAACTTCCAGAAGTGAGTCAGCCTCCCTATTGGAAATCCTGTACTCTTTTAACCCATCCTAATAATTTATACTGGAAAATACTGGGGAGTTACTGAGTACTTTATAAGTACTTTTTAAGTACTTTATGCTTATAAAGATAGTGATAGAAGAAGGATAGAGTGGTATGTGTGCACAGGTGTGTATTTCTTTTCCATTTTTTAAAGGGTTGAGTAATGTGGCAATCTACATTTGGGGCAGTTTTCCTCTTATGAATTATGCTTAGTGGTCTCTCCAACTCATTTGTCAGGAAGTAGAGAGTTAGTCAGCCAGAGGTAAAACTCAAGATTTGACTGTGTTTTTTCTTCTCCATCTGGAAAACCCCCCTACTGAAGGGGTTACCTGTGAACAGAGGGTTTACTCAGACAGGATATGTGAGCCCAGGTTGCTGGTAGGTGTCAAGGAGTTGGTTATGACTATGTGCAACGGTGTTGGTGACCCTGGTGGTACAACACTGCCCCGTCCTCTGCTGTTCTCCCAACTGGGGCTAGCTTTGAACCCATTGCGGTAGCCACTGTGTCCAATCCATTGTGTTCAGCCTCTTTTTTAATTTCAGACCTTCTATTCTAGCATGTTTGAGGTCCTTCTTCAGGGACTGGTCCCTCCTGATAACATGTCCAAAGTGTGGGAGACAATGTCTCTCCATCCTCCTTTCTAAGAAACCCTCTGGCAATACTTCTTCCAAGACAGATGTGTTCATTTCTCCAGCAGTCCATCCATTAATCTTGGCCAGCACCACCCTTCACAGGCATCGATTCTCCTGCTGTCTCCCTTACACACAGTCCCGCTTGCACATCCATGTGAGGCTGTGGACAAGACCATGTGAGACCATAGATGACAGGAAAATAAGAGTGGATGGAGACTCCAGAGGCTGTGGTCTAATCCTAACTTTCTCTCAATCTGCCTCCATGATTTTGAGCAAATCAAAATGGGCCCCGGATGTTTCATCTGAAAAGTTAAAGGATCGGGCCATTTGATTTATTATACCCGTTTGGGGATATCCTTTGTTAACTCGTCTTCTCCGTGTAGGTAGGAACATGGAGTGGCTGTTGTACACATATTGGGCAATAATGGCTCATAGCTCCCCTTCTTCTCACAGTCCTGACGACCCCTAGGAGTGTAGCTGAGGAAACAGCTATGCAGAAGGAGCCGTGGTTTGGGGATGGCTGGCCTGGGGAACATTCCCAAACACCCAAAGAAGACTCCCATTCGACAACAGGAGCACCCGGTAATAGATAGTTTAATAAGAAAACTTGGGCGGAAGCTTCCTTCTGAATTAAATGTTGGATGCTGAAGATATTGAACAAAGGACCAGTCTTGAAGTAATTGTCACAGACATTAATGTTCCTTAATAAAGTCTGAAGCAATCAACCCCAACCTAACCCTTACTGATCATAGCAAATCCCCTGAGTAGAGTGGATATTGGCAGGCAGAGGAGACCCAGGGACTCCACCTGGAGGATGTCACTTTCAGAGCTAGTTTGGGGCATCCCCTAGAGAGACTATCGCAAAAAACCCGACCTTATAAACGCTCTTTCCTATTTTGTAAAGAAATCATCAACCTAGTTCTATGAGGTACTGAGTTACTGAGAAGCATTTTGTTGGGACCCCAGTATTTGAAGAAACGGCACTAGGCTGTTTGAAATAGAAAACGAAAAGAAAAGACATCTGTCTGTTGTCAGTTGGCCCTTTGTTCCTTTCTCTGCTTGGTGATTTCTCCTTGAGGGTACAATGCTAAAGGCATTTTCCCTATTCTTGAATTGTGGGATTACGGAAATGGGACTGAAGTCTTGTCATCCTCTCTAAGTGATGTCAGATAACCTAACTTTGCAAGCTCCTACATCATCATTCTTTTGTCCGTGTGACATATGCCTTGAAATGCATCATGTCTTATAAAAGAATGCAAATTCCACACTTTCATGTGGTATCAGTGAGCGGTATCTCTGTATCTCTATTTACAATATTGGCTGTATTGCATAATGTCCTTCCACTGTGTGGCAACTTCTGAATGCAGCTCAGGCACAGCGATGGATTCAGCCTGGCTCTGTGATAGGGGTCGTTGCGAATGGGCTACTAGCATACTCTTTTCTACATGTATTTCTTCATGGGCTAAGAGCAAAGTAAAGGCACGTATTGCATACTTCTGTGGCACTTCTGGCCAGAAATCCCATTGTCAGAAGGTAATGCTTCTGATGGATTTGATTCATCCTTTTGAGATGAATGGCTTTTGCCTTGATGTCTATCCGATGGACAATTGTTATCTGATTCCTTGGCTGCGTGTTTGGGGGGATGCGCTTCTCTGGATAGTTCCTGGGCTGCACTCTTGGGTCTATCACTTCCTCATTTAGGAGACTGTAGCAACATGGCATGGATAACGTGCTGCTCTTTCATCTCCTCTAGATGTCAATACCTCACGCTCTAGCCACTGCTAAAGTTCTTAACGTTTTTGCAGTTCCCCTGTTCACATGCTGATTGAGAAGAAAATGAGCATGTATGAACTGGAACATGCTCAAACACTCTGCATTGCCACAGCCTCCTTGCCCACTAGCTGGCAAAGATGGTTTCGTTGACTTGTCTGTGAATAGCATTTACCAGGCCAAATGTCGATTAACACTTTGACAATTGCTTGAAATTGCATGATCACGACAGCCTCAGCCCACGACAGCCACACAAATCAAAGAGTGACAACATCTAATCCAGAGGACAGCAGCTCCTGGATGGATTTCTTGGACCCAATCTCACATCCGATGGGGCGAGGTCATCAAACAGGAAGAACCACGGGTAATAGACTCTGCGCTTTTTTTCCTACATTATGATTTTGGAATCTACCACAGAATCGTTGTCCTGGAGATACGCTCTTTAGACTAGTCCACTCTCCTAGGGAGGAACTGGAAGGGTCCTTAAAAATTCATTTTCTTTGTGGGAATGGTGAACAGATTCATCACCTTCTCCTGGGCAGATCATGATGAATTTTGCAGTCGGGTTAAAGAAGACTTAGCCCAGGAATGATGGGAGTGGAAGTCATTTCCTGGGAGGCAGGGGCAGTCAGGGTTTTTATTTTTGACTTCTGCCTGGAAGGTTTTAAATAGAGCTAAGTAATGGATTCAATGACTATTGCCATTGTAGACCCCAAAATGTATTTATTGTTAGGAGAGAAACCTGAGGTGTCGAAACCTGGTGACTAGTCATTTCACACAGGTAACTACAAGGCTCAGAAAGCATTTTTCTTTCCTCTGGTCATATTCAGAGATAATTCAGTACCAACAGAAGGATTTAGGATGTAGCCCACACTTCACCTTCCACAAATGTTGGTGAGCTTAATGGATGGTCAACTTCTTTTTAAGTTTGTGAACTTAATTTTTGGAATCCCAGCTTACTGAAATACCATTTTAAAAATTTATCTACAAATAATTCAAAAATGGAATTAAAAGAGAGACAGATACCAGTAGTCACACTGTAATATTATAAGGGAAGATTGTGATTTTATCTGAGCAATTTTTAAAATCATTTTATTGGGGGCTCATACAACTCTTATCACAATCCATACATACATCAATAGTATAAAGCACATTTGTACATTCATTGCCCTCCTCATTTTCCCCCGTCCCTCCCCGCTCCCCACTCCCCCATGAACCCTTGATAATTTATGAATTATTATTTTGTCGTATCTTGCCCTGTCTGTATCTCAGCAATTTTTATATTTAAAAATATCTAGCCTTGTCCTAACAGAAGACACCCTTTCTGAGAGTTTCCAGCGGTTGGTAGCAGGTGGTCCTCCTTTGTTCGCGTCTTTAAGAATTGAAGAGTCCCTGCTCCTTCCTAAACCCATGCACAGAGTTAGTCAGGTGTTTTTAAAATTAAATATGATGTGCTCGTGACCGAAAAGTAGCGTGCCCAACAAGGATTCATAACAAGCCAAACCAAGAGAACCAACATAGGCGTGTGGCTTTCCAATCATAGCATGGAATACGCTCTCTGGACTCAGCTCGTCAAGGGCAGGCAGGGTAGAAACTTACCGAAATGTGTCCTAAGAGCACAGTGATTATGTCTCTCAGTATTGAGCATATATAAAGTTAACTTCAAAAATGAAGCCTAGATCTTATATAATTGCATTTCTTTAGAACACTTAGCACCCATACCTCCCTCAAATATTACTCATCAGATATCCCTTAACCTACAATGCATATTAAATAGGTGCTATTACACAAAGCATCATGGAGACACAAAGATATTCAATTTATGGTATGCTCTTAAGAAAGATAGGATGTAAAGTTGTACCACCTGGGAAACCCTGGAGAGTTGCTGCCCCTTTGGGTTTCTGAGGCTGTAAACCTTCATGGAAGCAGAGATCTCTCTCTCTTTTTTTCCCATGGAGGAGCTGGTAAGTATGAATGACTGGCCTCTGGACTAGCAGCCCAATGCACATCCCATGACATCATCAGAGGTTCTTTATAACTACCTACGATACACGGTCTAACTCTAGGAGACAGTACATAGTAAGCAGCACATGAACATTGCCCGCAGTAACCTTGTCCCCAAATTCAGTGAAGCCCCCAGCTAGCTTCAAAGAAAGGCACATTAGATCTAGTTTAGAACCATGTGGGGCCGAGGCTGGGGGAAACCTGCCTACACAGAGAAGTACGGGAATTTTTCTCGGAAGAAGACTCCTGTAAGAGAGGAGAGTCATAAACACAGGAAAGCACAGGAGTGGCTTCATCAGCAGGGAGTGAGTCTGTCTGGCAGGCTTTACCGGTTGTATAACCGAAGATACGTTTGCAGGACTGGCTTGGGGCCATGGTACCAAGTGACTGCAGTACCTCATGCAGATCCAGCCCAAATGTTAGGGACACACCTGCGAGGGACTCTGAGCACATGCTGGGTGAGAAAGCAAGCCAGTCCAAGAACTTCAGGATCAATAGTACATTTCTAGGTCAGTGAAGAGCGTTTCCCTTAAACTGGTGAACATGACAAGAACAATATGGTTGCCTTTGACCATAAAATGCTTTTGGTACCTTTTGACGATTCTACTTATAAAAGGGGAGGTGCACCAGAGTCAGACCCTTCAACTAGCAAGGGTTTTTCTGGAAGGGAATCCAGTTGGGATTTTTATTGAAGTGTGCTGGCTCTTCCATGTTTCTTGAAATTTAGGATGGAATCATGCATGTTTTGGTCCTCCAAAGATTTTGATCGCCTTATCTTTCTGAGTGTAAAGCTGCAGTGCAGAGGTGGGCGTCCAACCATCAGTGCTTCCCCCGGAGTTGTTTGGAATTGATTACATTTGGCTTTGATTGAATGGCCGAGTCAGCAACGTGAATGATCTTGATGGGTTGTTTGACCCATATTTCACTTAGGACTTGTTATTTCCGTGCAGGAGATCTGTGATATCTATTCAAGATAACATTTACAAAGACTTCGGTGACATGTTGGCAGCGTTCACCGTGGTGCATGTTTTATTGTATTTAGCTATTAGAGTGGTTCAGTGACACTCGCTGCTTCGTCTTCCGGTCCTCATGCACTTCCAGCCACCTCTCCTAGGAAGCCTCCAGTGATAGGGCTCTGCTTCCATGTGCACACTCACTGTGGGACGAGAGGGGACTAAGTAAGGAGGCAAGGAACCCCTGTGACGCACTGCCATCAAATTGATTCCAGCTCAGAGTGATCCTAGGAGTCAAACCCAGTGAGGGAGAGGGCTGCAAGAAAGCACCTTTGGCAAGTAGAAGCTGCGAGAAAATGGGGTGTAAGTTGGTGCCTTTTGCATTGTCTTTGTGTGCCCAATGAAGCGAGCTTTTAAGAAAGCCGATGGAATGGGACAAGTCATCCATCATTGGTCATCTTTCTGTCTGTCCATAAGGCTAGGGAGTTCCCTCCTGCACTCATGTTAGTACTCTGCAGGCAGCCTTCCAAACTGAGCAAAAGACAAGCACAAGTCATAGATTTTACCAAATTTGCCACTTTAATGAAAGGCAGTTGCTTTTGGGGGTGTTCTTTCGAAGAAACCGTAATCGATCTTATTTCAGGAGACCGGAAATAGTAGATGTTTTCTTTTCTCTTATCCCTGATTTGAATATAAACGCAATTCAGCAACAGACTACAAAAACCACTCCCAGGCAGTGGCTTAGGTAAGCAAGCAATAACACTGATTTAATTCCTCCAGATATGGAATCCAGTCATAGTCCAACGCTTCAGCCTACTGAAGATCCAGACAGTGGTTTGGTGGATGACTTGGACAGAGCAGGACCTCTGTCAATGACAACGCGTAAGGATGCCGCCAACCAGCCACTCATGTAGCTGCATTCCTGCATCTGCTCTGCCAGAGCTTGGTGGTGGAATGGTGCCCTTGATCCTGCGTAGATCAGCTCAGCCTGGGGTGTAAAAGCTATCTGCATTGTCTGTTGTTCCTCCGAGGTGCTTCTTGAAATCTGTTTTCCTTCATTCTTGATGCTGCCTGGGTTCACTGCTTTCTGAATTTAAAAAAAGCAAAGGTGGTGGGACTCCAATCGTGTAGCTTGCTCTTTCTTCTCTACGTAGTCATGTCAATGAAACTCAAGGCCACGGTGAGGACCGTGATATCTTCTTGTTTTTACTGACCATCCCCTTTGCCCTGATCAAGGTAGAAGGGGCCAGGGTTATTTAGAAAGGGGGCAGAAATCAGATCCGTCCACAGAGGAGGGCAACACATGTTGTTGGCAATTGGTGAAAGCAGGAGGGGCCCTAAAACAACAACAACAAGCAACATGTCACTATCTTTCTCTCATGAAACAGCTGGTAGGAATCAATACTAAATTTCTAGTCCCCCAATTTCCACTTTATGGACAGGGATATCCAAGTTATCAGTGCATAAGGTCAGTCCTCCTTTTTCTGGCAGAACATGAAAGTAATGCAGAATTCAGAGGATCATCTGCCTCCTCTCACCACTTGCTACACATAATGGGCAGAGTCCTTCAAGTGAGACCTTGCAGGCGAATGACAGAACCAGCCAGTCGTGTTGATTGTCAACAATGTAAACAGCACGGTGTTAAGCATCAAAGAAGATGCAAAGAATGCCTCCCGCTCTAGATGGGCTCTCCCACTTACCTTTATTCAGACTGGAGCTTTGGGAATGTGTTTCTCCTGACTGTCATATGAATTTGGTGGTGCTCACGGATGCACTTGATGAGCTCTTCCAGGTGTTGACAAAGGCGAACACCTTTCTTAGAACACCAAGGTCACGCGCACAAAAGAAAATGACTTAGATTTGGCAGCGATTCAACCACAAATTAATGCATGTCACTGAAGGTCCTGTGTTTGCCCAGGCAAGCGTTTCCTTGGCGCAATGATGAAAATCCCATCCACCGATGAAATAAAAAACCCAGTAATAGAGTAAAATGGCAATTTCCAGGGAATGCTCTTTACAGGGGCTCTCGGAGTTTGTGTCTAACTTGGAACTGAGTTACTTGAGTGGGTTATTCTCCAGGCACCCCTGCCTCTCTTGTTACCAATGTGTCACCTACTGCTGCGGCATTGAAGTCCACGACCCTCTCACTTCTGGATCCATGGTCAAGTGCTTTGATTGCTGTTAGGGATCCTGAGATCCAAGCATTCCTTTTCCCAGGTGTCTGTGTTCTCTGCTTGTACTGAGTGGCTGAGAGCAAGACATTGGTATCGGGATGATCCGTGGTGGACTCAGGCTTTGAGTTACCTTTAACCTGGCCACTTTACTGTTGCTGATTGGTCTGATGATGGTCTGTCTTAGGGGGCAACCGAGGGGCCAACAGGAACTCTTGTACTTTTTTCAAGCAATTGTAAGAGAACGATGTGCACAAACTTTGTCTCTCTTCTGCGCTTACCCATCTCGGACATTTCCATAGTTAGATCTTCCCTGTTAGTAGATAACAGAGAAATTGTATCGTGGTTTCCCTGTAACACTGGATTCATCCCTCACTGAAACAGAGGAGAGCCATTCTCACAGCTTCTCGACAGAACATGGAGGCGTGGAAGAAGCTCAGGACCACCCAACAGCTCCTGCAGCAGCATCCAGCAGTAAGAACGAGAAAGCCCCGATGTGGCGACTCTTGATTTGAAAAGAAATACAATGTGGGGTGCTTTTGCTGGGTCTTTGGTGGAGGTGCACCGGACTGCGGCTGTGTTGTTTCTTTTGATTAGAGGGTGCCCCTGGTGACGGTTCTCGGTGATTTTTCTGCTTTGTAGACCTCATGGGGCATTAAATGCGAACTATATCTCTTAATCCTGATGAGTTAGTGTCTGAGTTTAAAACGAATGAATCACTCGTGTATGATTGATGAGTAGTGTGAATGTCTCCATTACATCCCTCTCTTTACTCCTCGCGTGAACAATATTATTTTGTCATCTGTCTTCAGGACCAGAAATCCATGGTGCTATTGACAAAGAAGGAGGGCCCCTTCTGACAAAGAAAAATAAATAAATTGGAAGTATAAGAGCTTTGAAATAGTATTTTACCATTCAGTCCAATGGTGTATGTCCAGTACCTCAACTAGTACATGAGCTTCAAGGTGGCAGCTGAAGTGACACAAAACTTACCTTAGCATGCCAAGCAGAGGGTGCAGCAAATGTCCCTTCTGTGTGTTAGCATCACGGAGCTCTCTTCTGCGGAATACTATCCGGGTAGAGTCGGTGAGAGTATTGGTTGCTCAACAGTGTAATGGCCTTCAGTAGCTTGTGCTCATTGTTCATGAATGGACAGGAAAGGTTTTCTCAGCAATTGCATGTAGTATTGACCAGCGCACAGTGGACAATGGCTTTACGAATGCGGGTTCACTGTTGATTCCACCTCCATACAGCTAGCAATGATGACAGAGGTGGGGCGAGAGGTGAAAATCTTCCTGAAGACTCAGCTCCGTCAGTAGAAAGTTATACTCCTCGTTCCCCAGACCCAGAGGCAAACAGGACGCTCACCTCAGTCACCCCTGCTATGACCCAGCCCCCTGGAGTTAACGAAGTTGCTGTTATTGGAGATTCCAACTCTGATGTAGGACATTTACTTCCAGGTAATTTGGACACTGTTACCCGGTTTGCTTTCTCTATAGGAAGAAACAACACCTACTTTCATCTTATGGGGAAGATTTCCTGTCTGGGTTGTAAGATGGGAATGGCTGTGACCACCAGCCATCAACACTAGGACAAGTCACCTTGCAGGGGGACACATGAAATTAAATAATGCTTTCATTTGCCAGTGTAATTTCTGATTCTTTTTTTGAATTGGTTATTTTGATGGAACGTATTCATCTTGTTCCTAATCTTGTGATATATTAAGTTGAATCATGAAATGGGAAGATCAAAATAGTTGACTATGTGCAGTTTCATGTGATTCAAGTAATATATTTTTCCTACTTAGTAAGGATTTGCCAACGTGCATGATAAATTTCCTTTACCTAATAGCCTGCCTCTGAAATCATGACCTTCTTTTATTGTTGCTGTAAAAGTATAGACAACACAACACTTGCTGAAATGATCTTTTATTGTTTATCGATGAATTTGACTTTTGGTGAAGGGTTGATGGATAAATCTCATTATCATATGCATTTTAAACTTATTAACCATTGGGCATCAGAGTTTAACTTGAAGACGCAGGGTGGAGCATTTTTTCTCAAACAATAAGTCCTCTTTGCTGCTGTTTTTCTTTATTTCTCCATTTGCATTAAGAAATGGAAACTGAAGAAAAGGGGATGGAAAAATACTCACTTTGGTCAGGAACCTAAAAATGGCCTCTCTCTTCCTAGTACTGGTTCTTCAAATGTTTCTTATCACTCAACCACTACAGTGTAGGAAAGATTAGTGACTTTAAATATACATTTTTTCTGTAGGAGGAAACTTTTTTTCCTGAAAAAAGAAAAAATATCTAATGAGAACCTGAACACAGATGACAGTCATCCTGCTCTGACTGATGTGGGACAGACAACCCAGAATGCCTCTTTCTTCTGGGCTGTCCACGCCCAGGCTTCCAGGGGAAAATGGAAAAAATAAAATACTGATTCGGACAATATTGGCAAGGCAAGGCCTTTTAAACCTACTAGATTTTTATTCAGCATGAGCTCTCCAATTATAAAAAATTCCAAATACCATTGTTAGCATTCTTCTGGGGAAATGAATCAGTGTTGCCAATACATATTTTTTTCTTGGTAAAATAAGGCCTATGGTACAATCGAAAAAGTTAGATTTTTAAATGACAATTTTAATAGTTACAATATCCTAAGACAATATCTTAATTATTATTAGATTAAACAAGTCTTGTCTGTCCATACTTTTTCTTCAGTCTTTATGCTTAATGTTAAGAACTAAAACATTTGGGATTGTGATGGTAGTGGTATTGGTGATGGTAGCAGTGTGGTGGTGGTGGTGGTGGTGGTGGTGGTAGACTTGGTGATGGTGATGGGGATGGGGATGGTGATAGAGTTGGTGATGGTGACAGAGTTGGTGATGGTGATGGAGTTGGTGATGGTGATGAAGATTGGCAGATTGGTGTTGGCATTTCAGCACATGCTGTTTTCGGTTATTCTAATCGTCAATCAAGGAACAAAGAAATCTGTCTCTCTGGTGCAATTATCTGACAGTCACCACTGACATCTCCTCTAATCAAGGAACTATTGATGATCGGGTCTCGGTATATTCCTTAAAGGTACCTTGTTATGGAGAATAATAGGAAATTTATGAAACCATTGTTCTGTGGGGTGTTTTTTTGTTTTTGTTTTTTTCTGAAGACTTTAATAGACCCTTCGGCATTGTATATGGGTGGAGAAAGGAGTTTTTAAAGAAGAGAAGGAGTTTCCTTATACAGAATCCAAGGTTTACCCATGGATTTAAATTTGATCAATTCCTGAGCTCTTCTTCATCTAAAACCCTTGGGTAATGGATGCCTAAGATGATGGATTATATTAACTATTGGGACTGAAGATATAATTTAATTAAAAATATATTATTATTTTAAACTTATCCTAGCCCTCAGATGTACATTGTTCATGTATTAACCATCACTCTTCCTTCCCGTTTCAGTCTTTCTAAATATGTAATTCGCTTTTCTCTCTGGGGCTGGACATAGTTAAATTCCAAGATCCCTTATTGTGGACCCAACCCTTTTTCTATTTTCTGTATTCATAAATTTTTTAAAAATGTTTCATGCCCTGAGAAAAACACCCGAATATTGTTTGTTAAAGTGTTCTTTGACCCAGTTCTCAGATGTCTACCCAAGCCATACGTCATTGTGGTCCCCCTTCGTGTCTCGCGTTGTGCCCGTTTTCTTCAGTTTGATTACCACGCTAGCCTGCTCACTTGTGGCTTAGCAATGAGTGGCCAGGACTCTCCTGGAACCATCCTCAGATTCTTTGCCATCACGTTTCTGGTTACTTTTAATGGCTGAACTTCATGATGGGCTGTCTGACAGTTTGAACAGGAGGTGAGGCAGATGGCTGTGAAAGTGGACACTCCCGATACTGAACCTTCTTCGATTGCTCCTTACAGAACACCGAGACGAGGGAACTGGTGGTAGGTCCCATACCACTCATGGATCAGAGTCAGATGGTGAGTGTGAGCGGCTTTCCATATTAACGGTCACCATAACCACTGAGATTTCTGAGTGATTATTGTGGAAGTATGCTTTGTGTCTCTTGAATAGTGGTTCTCAAAGATTTTAATGATGCATCAGATTCCAGTTGACTCCAACTCAGGGTGACCCCATGTGCATAGGATTAGAACTGAGCTGCATTGGATTATGGATGGGTGATTTTTCAGAAGTAGACCTCTGGGCCTTTCCTCTAAGATGCCTCTGGGTGGACTCAAACTCCCAAACATTGGGTTATCAATGAAAGCGTCCTAGCCATTTGAGCCAGGCAAGTTTACGAAATCACACTATCGAGCCCCACCCTCAGAGTTTCTGATTCCGGAGGTCTGGAGTTAGCTGAGCTTTCTAATAGGTGTTCGGGTGATACTGATTTTCATGTTGACATTGACTGCACTGTGTGAACTACCATTCTAAAGAAGGTCTTCCCTCTGAAAGGATGAGGGAGAATTCAAACAGGATCTCAACTGAACAGTGCATAAAGCCGAATGACTAAGCAAACATGTTTGGGGAGTAAGAATGGCCTTAGTTTGCTCCCAGCTCCTCTGTATAATAACTGCATAGTACATACATACATACATAGGAGGCATGAGACTCAGTCTCCTAACTACTGAAAGTGGCATAAGGAGCTCGGGTGCACGAGCAGTTCAAATGACTGGCTGGTCTACCAAAGAAAGACGAGGCTTTCTTCTCCCATAAAGCTGTATCGCCTCGGAAAACCCACGGGTTCAGTTCTATTTTGTCCTATAGGGTTGCTAAAGAGTCAGAATTGACCTAATGGTAGTAAGTTTTGAGTGGTTGTGTAAAGAACAGGCTTAAAACAATTAGCATCATCTAGTACATAGTACTTCTAGCTAGTTTATTGAAAACACACTGGCGTCAGCCATTTTTTTAAACACTTCAGATGCATTAGATTGGACCATATGAACATGTCATTCCTGAAGTCAGGAAGAATCAAGTATCAATAATTTCATATGTTCATCTAACCTCAACTCATTTAATCATCCTACAAACCATGTGGCATATGTAAGTTCTATTCTTCCCATGCTACGGTGAGAAAACTAAAGCCAAGTTGATATAAGTGGTGGACAGAAAACTCAGTTTAAAGCGCAGGGGGTCTCACATGGCTGCTCATAAACATGGTCTACAGAAAGCACTCTGTAATGACCATAATTATCACTAGACATGCTTTATTAAACAGATTCCTGCTGCCGTGATTCAGCTCCCTAGAAGCAGGCAGCTGAAGTCTGACAAGATAGAAGCTTACTCCTGACATCTAATGCTCTGCTGGGGATAACAGCTTATGATGGTCTCACAAGTCTAAACAAACCCACGCAAATTGTTGTCTTCCCCCATCGTGCTTAATATCCCCACCAAGGGTGCCTCCTGGTTTAAACACGCACACGTTGGTCATGTACATGGCATGGCGTTAGTAATAACCATTTGTGTTAGAGCCCAGAGAGTTGGGGGTTCACTAGAAATGGCTCTGAAGGAAAAGACACATGTCTTGGGCTCACTGGGCACCTTGGACAGGGCCCTTACTAGTTCTTGACCAGCATACTAAACCAAATGTCATTGAGTCCATTTTGAAAAATTAATTTTTTTTAACTCTTATCACAATCCATACATCCATCCATTGTGTCAAGCACATTTGTACATTTGTTGCCATCATCATTCTCAAAACATTTGCTTTCTACTTGAGCCCTTGGTATCAGCTCCTCATTTCCCCCCCCTCCTTCTCCCACCGTTCCTCCCTCACGAACCCTGGATAATTTATTAAAAAATTGTTCGTGTCTTACACTGTCTGATGTCTCCCTTCACCCACTTTTCTGTTGTCTGTCCCCCAGGGAGGGAGTTATATGTAGATCATTGTGATACATATCCCCCCTCCTCCCCCACCTTCCCCTTCCCCTCCTGGTATCGCTACTCTCATTATTGGTCCTGAGGGGTTTATCTGTCCTGGATTCCCTGTGTTTCCAGCTCTTTTTGGTACCAGTTCCATCATCCAGTCTAGCCGGATTTGTAAGGTAGAATTGGGATCATGATAGTGGGGGGAGGAAGCAATAAAGGACTAGAGGAAAGTTGTATGTTTCATCGGTGCTACACTGCACCCTGCATTGAGTCCATTTTAACTCATGCAACCAGTTTCATTATCAGTATGTCTCTTTTCTCATAAGGAACAAAAGGTAGGGGAAGGAGCAGTTAATTTTAAAATGGACCAGAACCTTGGGACTCATGGTGGCCCAATGTGTAGCGTGACTGACCTGAATGCAGTAGATCAGCAGGTCTTTCTTTCAAGCCACCTCTGGTTGGCTGCATCCAACCAAGCAACCTCTCCAGTAGGAGCCAAGTGCTCACCTATTTGCACCAACCTGGAGCTCCTTGGAAAAATGCTGGCTAAAGCCAAGAGACTCCAAGTACTCCAAATATGGTCCTTGGACCAGGCTCACTGACATCCCTGAGGAGCTTGTTGGAAAGGCAGAATCTCTAGCTTGCCCCAGACACACTGGATCAGTATCTGTGTTTTAATTAGACACTCCCCCACCCCCAGGAGATTTGTCTGCACCTTAACGTTTGAGAACTACTTCCCTAGACGATTGTCCCATAGTTAAAGGCTGCTGAATTGCATCTCAGATTGGATCTCATCTACCCAACTGGAGAGGCAAATGCCCCCACTTTTGCAGAACTTGCTTTTTCGGACCTCTAGGGTTCAAGGGGAGGCCTACTGTGTCTTGTCCTTTCACCTTGGCATTTGCTTGAAGTGAGAATCGGGTGGGCGGGAGGCCCTCTCCTTTGTTTGACTCTGTGCAGGCGTCTACGGTTGGGGCGGGCAGTTTCATCTTGCTGTGCACACGCCCAAAGCTTTCCTTGCTGGGAGCGCTTTTTAAAAAATTAAAAACGAAAGAGATCAGGATCCATTACCAGCCTCCCTCTCAAATATCAAAGGCAGAGGTGAGTCAGCGCACGACCAGTGAGAGCGACTGTGCCGCTCAGATGGTTCTGAAGACCAGAGAGCGCCTGTTGAGACGGCCCATAACGCATGACTTGTGCAAGTGAAAACCTGTCCTCCGCCAAGTGCTGTGGAAAGGGCCTGGGACTCCTCCTGAGGTTTGGAAAGGAAAAGGGCGCTGCCAACACGGGATGGGTGCTTTGAACTGGCCAGGTGTCTGGTCAGAGTTTGTTTTGCTCCATTTTGATTTACCAGAAGGATCAAGTTGCATGGACAGGAGCCATCCTACCCAAACGGACCTCTGCTCGAGGCCTTAGCGTCTACTGCGCCGAGCCTGAGGCTTGCTTCCCCAGGAAAGCTTGAGCAGGAAGGCCTGGCCCTCTTCAGCCATTTAGCAGGCAGACAGGCTTCCCTGGGTTTTGTTTTGTTTCGTCCCCTCTGGAGACGTTAGGGTTCCGCAGTGGGTTCCTATGTAGCAGGAAGAAGACAAAACCCACTCATTGTCATGGGCAAATGTTTACCTTTGTGTTTGGAGGGATGGGGCACAGAAAAGGAAGCTTCACTCGTTTCTTCTTGAAGCCTGATGCTGCCCGCATGGTGCTGGACCACCTCTTCTGCCCGGTGGACTCTCCACCTCGCGAGACTTCCTTTCAGGTGGAGGCTTTGTTGGTTTATTGATTTGTTTATTTTTCCCCAGCAGGAGATGTATATTCTTCTACCCCAGGGCATGGTTCACCAATATGTTCTTATGCGGGGCTGTAAATGGATTTGTTGATCTAGAAGACATGAAGGGGCCACTTCGTCCCTGTTCGCTCTTATTTTTGAAATGGTTATGTTTGGTGCTATAAAAACCATGCCTTTGTTGTTGCCCTGGGTCGGTGAGCTAGCGGCAGTGCAGACACACAGCAGAATGCTGCACTGCCCAGTCTGGCGCCAGGCCTCACCATCATTGTTATGTTTGGGGCTGTTGTTGCAGCCATTGTGTCAGCCCATGTGGTTAAGGGTCTTCCTCGCTTTCAATGACCCCTCTACTTGACCAAGCACGACGTCCTTCTCCAGGGAGTGGACTCTCCTAATAAGACGTTCCATGAAGCCTGGCCTATGACCATTCTGGCTGATTTTCAGATTTGCTTTTGTCTTTTTGAGGTCGGGGACTCCACTAGGGACTGTGCTAAAGTGAATGTTCTGATCCAGTGTGTCGTAGGTGAGGCCAGACAGGCTGCATTCTTAGCAAGCCCCCAAGGGATGACCACTTTGATGACCCGCAGGCTGCAGTTCGAGTTATGAGACCCTCACCCCCAAGAACTAGAAAATAGCAACTGCATAAATCTATGGATATTATTTCTTTCAACTTCTGTGGAAATATGGAGTAGATTTAATTATTATCTACCTGTGATGTGAGATCTGGAAAGGAAAACATGGTCTAGCTGACACACTGCTACCGAGAAGCAAGGGTAGGACTTAGACTCAGGTCTGTCCACCTCCAGAGCCCAAGAGTTTAAATACTACGTAGCGCCCCTGCCTTTAAGGGTTCTCATGTACCTTGATAAAAACAACGATAATAATAACGTCTCCAAACATTGGTCTTAATCAATCCCAAATGTTTTGTTGAAATGTCTTTCACTGGCACAGTTTGCACTCATACTAACAACAGAAAGGCTAGCCATTCGAACCCACCCACAGTGCTGCGGAACCGAGGCCTGGCTGTCTGTTTCCAGAGCGATCACAGCCGAGCAAACCCGACAGAGCAGTTCTAGGTCTTCAACAGGTGGGGTCGCCACGGAGTCAGAACTGACAGCCACTGGTTTGGGTTTGTCGCCGTGACCTTGCACGAACCTGTGGCTCGAGTCTTTTCGGTGGCTTCGCCGTGATGTAGGACAGACAGGCAGGCTGGCGTGTTGCTGTCAGGAGCACACGGCTCTGCGTTTCAAGCTTTGGGTGAGAGATGCTGTTTTTCTCCTCAGGACAATCCAGTGGGAATCAAGGAGATGACACCAGCACCACCCTCCCTCCTGTGAGGAAAGCACAAATTCCAGGTGAGTTTCCAGCTGTGAGGCAGCCACCATGCTTCTTGCAGAAAGAAAGAAAGAGGGGCCTATTGGAAAGCGTCCTCTTCTCTCACACGACCCTTCTCTTCTTTACGTGTTAAAGGACACAAGCTCTTGGTTGGAAAGGGTCAAGCACTCGTTTTCATGGTCTACCTGCCTGCCATTGCTGGGGCTCATTTTAGGACCGTCCCAAAGAACTGCTCTGTTTGTTAACAAATCCTCCTTCCCAGATGAGTACGCCCACAGAAGACCCCAGAGCACACCAGGTCCTCCCCAGCCCGGCCTAGCTTCCTCTTTGTTTCTGGGGTGGTGACGTTCACATGGCAGAGGGCGAGGAGTTACAAGGCCCATGTCTATGAGGAGAATTACAGCATCTTTCTAAGTGTCGGACAAGCTTGCTGGATCCGTGCAGCCAACGCCTTCCAGAGTGTTCCTGCACAGCAAGGGGGACGGGAACGCTGGACCCTCCTGAGCTTCGAGACTGGAGCCGTTTGATGAGAAGTGTTAGTTTGACTTGGGCTCAAAATTGAGCCTTTGCAAAGGGGGAATTTCAAGAAAGGGAAAGGTTTTCCTAGAGTTGTAGGTTAGCCTTTTCATCCTTTCCTCTCTTTATCAGTCTCCAAGCTAATCCTCCCTGGAAGAGATGGAACAATGTGGTGTGTGCTCCCTCCCCCCATGAAAGAGGGTGGGGCGTGGGGGGGCAGATATGGTGAGAGCAAAGGAGGCCCTAGTTTTCTGTAACCTGACCCCAGGAATCTTCCCAGCTCGAGTGAACTCAAATGTGGGCCACCTCCAGGGCTAACCCTGGGAAAGGACAGAAATAAGACGGTCCTGTTGGTGGCCCCACCATTCTGGCTCTACTGTCCTCCTCAAACCAGGGCTCTGAACTGGTTTGAACTGGTCGTTATGGCCAGTGCAGCCAAATCGGAGCAGATCTGAAGGTGCCCAATGTGTGTGCACTGGAGTGACACTGGAGTGGGAAAGGTGACTGGTGAAGGCCTGCATGGAGACGTGGAAGAGGGGAAAGCCTGGGGAGGGACTGTGGAGAGTGACCCCCACGCAACATGGCAGAAGGGCCGCCATCTGTAAGTGAGGCACTGTTGCTTCCAACGGGGCCGGCGAAGAGATTTGGCAGCTTGGCAGTGCGTGCCCTGCCCTTGTTTTCTCAGAGGGCACCTACGTTTCTAGCAGATGTTGACCCATAATCTCCCCCATTCCGGAGATCATTCTGGGACACCCATATTTTAAAAATTCAGGTCTGGCCCAGTATCACTTCATCAGCCATAACTGAACTCGGAAGAACTGGTTCAAAGCCCTGCCCCAAACTCACCTAACGAAGTACAGGTGAGGCCAAGGCAGGGCAGACTAGGAAATGGAAGCGAAACCCCCGACCATGAACGACCTTCCATCTTCTTCCCTCGAGCACGGCTCATTACACAGATGTCCCTCCACTCTTCGCCCACGTGGACGCAAGTTGGCATGTCATTTTAAGATATGCTGTGTTTGTCTGGGCACTTTAGAGAAACAAATCCATAAAAACACATGTATAAGAGAGAGTTTTATATCAAGGTTAAGTGCACATCAAGAAAACATCCCAACCCAGTGCTGCCCAAACCCACAAGTCCAACATTAACCCACATGTATGACACCAATCCACAAAGGCCTCCATCTCACAAAACACACACTATGATGCCGACTGCAGGAGGAAAGTCGAATCAGTGAACATGTAAGCATCTCAGTGTTGGCAGGCGTCTCCACACAGCTGTTCCAGCACCCAGGGCTGCACCAGGATAGGTACGTGTGGCTTCTTCTCGGGGATGTCTTGCAGGAAGTGAGCCTTGCCAGCTGAAGCAGGGAACTGGCTAAGGCAGCTGCACCCTGGTCCAACCATCAGAAAGCAAGAGACCTGAGAACTAGAAGGCGAGGCTCACCGAGCCATTTATTCCTTCGCCCTTCAATTAACCCCACATGTGTTTATCGGCCAGGTTGGCACAATAAACTAACTACCTCACATGCATAGAACATTTTATTTGTCCATAAGTGATGCACAGTTATTGAAGACCTTTTTGAAAACGCCGCTGAATAGAAGACTGAAAATAAGTCACTTGTTATTTAAGATACCACATTCACCATCTCAATGGATGCTTTACCTGCCTGCTTTTCTTTTTCTCAAGGACAGACTTTATTTTTTCATGTAGTTTTTGGATTTTCAGAGTAATTGAGCAGAAAGCACAGAGAACTACCACATATCCCTTTTTTTTTTATCACCACTCATACAATTCCCCTTATGAGTAACACCTGGTATTAGTCTGGCGTGTTTGTTACGATTGAAGAGCCAACAGTGATGCAGCATTAACTAAAGTCCTAGTGGTCATTAGCACCTTCTCTTTGTGTTGTATAGCTCTGTGGGCTTTGGCAAATGCATGGTGCTGGGAATCCACTATTACCGTATCATACAATATCATACAGCATCACACATGTCACAGCCCTAATAATGCCCCGTGTGCCACCATTTGTCCTTCCCAGCCATGCTCTGGACCCATGGCAACCGCTCATCTTTTGCTGTATCCTTCCAGTATGTCATAGAGTGGGTAGCCTGTAATAGGTAGCCTGTTTAAATGGCTTCCTTTCATATGAACATATGCATTTAAGTTTTCTCCAGGTCTTTTCATGGCTTGATAGCTCATTTCTTTTTATCACTGAATAATATTCTCTTATATAAATGGACCACAGTTCATTTACCCTTTCACTCTCTGAAGTATATTGTGGTTCTTCCCAAGTTCTGTATAGTACGAATACAGCTGCTGTAAACACTCATGATTAGGTTAAGTTTTCAGGTCACATGAATAAACATGTGGGAACACGATTGCTGCTTGTGTGCTCAGGCTGTGTTTAGCTATGCTAGCTTTGTAAAAAACCGACAGACTGTCTTCTAAAGTGGCTGCATTCCCACCACCAATGAACGAGCGTTCCTGTTGCTCCCTCAGCTATGTCAGCATTCGGTGCTGTCAGCATTTTGGATCCATGTGTGCAATAGTATTGTATTGTTGCTATACTCCTTACCAATGTCATTCAGATTGTAAAATGTATTCTAACATAGACACTCGGTAGAAAGCTAACATTCCTTAATAATTGGGCACAGCTTTTCATGTCAGTACCTACATATTCTTTCCCTGTATTTGTTATATGATGCAGTGGACTTATTCTAATGTATGCTATTCTAATGTTTCCTATTATAAATGGTATAATAATGAGAATTCACACAGCTAATTCTGAGTTCCTACAAATACCCGGAAATGCAACTGCTGGATCAAAAGTATGAACAATTTTAAAGGATTTTGACAAATGTTGCTAAATGACCCTCAAGTTCACAACCCTACAGCACTCCACAAGAGTGTCCCCACTGCCAACACCAGATTTCAGGTTCTGTATTGAGTTCCTAATCGCACGTGGGATTCAGTCTCTGAGATAGGGAAGGGAATTCTTTTTAAGGGAAGCATAACCTTCCTTCAGTCTATGTAATAAGATCGTACCAAGTGCATCTACAAGTTGTGGTAACTCGTGCTGCAGCTCTGGGGAAACGAGTTTCTCTTAGAGGAACTTGGAGATCTCGCATGATTTTAAAAGTTTAAAGCAAGAGGTCTGTTCATCAAAACTGTTGTAGGCAACAACAAAAAATGCCCAGTAGGATCTGCATGTTGGCTGGTTCTTTTAGCTGGGCCCCCTGTGCAGTGCTGCCCATCTTGTCTGGAGCAACTCGATGTACGAAGTACACAATGGTTGTTAACAAAGTGCATTTCCAAAGCTCACCCGTGTCTTTTGGCTCACCCATTCCAGAGTGGCTCATCATCTTGGCATCCCTCTTGGCCCTGGCTTTGATTCTCGCCGTCTGCATCGCTGTCAATAGTCGAAGAAGGTAAGGAAGTGCTCCTTGTGACCTGTGCCTTTGCTGCTGATGGGCGTGGTCTCTGGAACTAGCAGCCCCAGAGCCCTGGGAACTCGTCAGACATATCACCATCTACATTTCAACAAGATCTCAGGGATTCGTGTACATATTCCAGGCCGAAAGGTCTGCTCTGGCACGTTCTTTAAAGAACAGAAACACCTGGATAATTGAATGAAGCGGGGCTTCATGGTGGTTGAGGGTTCTGTGGTAGCATGTACATTTCAGAACTAGCTGATGAAAGCTGTGAATGCCTTCTTCAGAAGGGTGTGTACCTTCTCAGCGAGTCATTAAATCAACATTTATTTACAGGCTCGGGGGCTGTAGTGCTCTTTGTCCTGCCCAGATTCCTAAATCTGCTGGCACTCTGACATGAAGCAGACATTCAGTTTGCGGTCACGTTTGTTGCTTTGTTGTGGTTTCCTGTCCTAGAACCACTATTTTCTAGACACCACTGTTGAAAGGACTCTGGGGACAGTCTAGAAAGGGCTCCTTGACAGGGACGTCTATAAACCAATGATGAGTCCTGGTGGCAGATTTAGACCCCGACCCCAGCAAGAAAGGCTGCGTAAGGAGCAGACACTCCTCTTTCTTGAAGGACCTGTGAGCTATTAGCACAACCTCAACGATTCTTCTTGATTCGTACCGCAACCCAGGACAGTACGTTTGGAGGTTATTTACAGGATACACATCCTTGCTTGAGCCATGACAAGGCTCCAGAAATAGTGTTGCCAAAAGAGAAGGGAAGGGAAACAAGGGATTCGAGCCATCGAGGCGACTGAACGGTCCTGGGGGCCTCTCCAAAAGTGGACGTCTGAACTGCCCACCCAGGATGTTCCGAGGCGCAGTCCTTTCCTGCGAGCACACACACGAGCGAGCCTTGGGTACATGCCCCCGGAGGTTCCCTTTGATTACGTGAAAGCCGCAAGGGTGGCCTTTGCTTTGCCACATCATCCAGCCAGCCAGCCGGGAGATACCTGCAGCTTGTGTCTTTACACAACCTATGTAAACCTCTACAAAGCCTCGCCTGGCCAAAAAAAAGAAAAACTTTCCTGGCAAGGCGAGGTCTTTAGACTGTGGATGGCCTTTGGAAAGCAGTGAGCAGCTAATCCCCATGCCATGGGCTGTACATTCCTATTGGAGGAACTCAAATAATGTCATTTTACAAGTTAATAAATCTGCTATGTTCATAGCTTTGCTCTGGTCTATAGCCTTGAAAACATAATTAAAAAAAAAAAATTAAGTCAACATAACTGATTGCTATAACTGACCAGTTGCTGTCAAGTGTCACTGAACCTAGGTCTGCAGAGTGGGACTGCAGCATCCCAGCAGTCCTTCAATGGCTGGGACCTTTCAGAAGCAGTTCGCCAGTGTTTCCCTACAGGCACCTCTGAGTCATCTGAACCCCCAGTCTTCTAGCCAATCGTGTAAGGAACAAACACTAGAAGGGGCAGAGAAAACCCTAACAGACCTCCTGAAACAGCTATGATCAACTAAATGGGGCATCTTTGTTGTTGTTGTGTGTACTTGAATTTAAATTATGTGACTTGAGGGAGCCTCACTACGTCCTTTTACTTCTCCTCAGCCTCCTTGTTGTCCCTGGGATTACTCGTACTCAATTAAATGTGAACTTCCTCGTGTTCGAAATCAGATCTTATGTTCGGGGACGCAGCCTGCAGGATTTCGGCTGATGTATAGAGTTCCACAACTTTGTCACCATTGAAACATCAGCCCTGGGTGCTGTCGGGGTGAGGGGGTGGGGGTCTTCAGTGAAGCATCTCAGCTGTCCCTGAGAGCAGCTTACAGGGTGACTGGTTAGCTCTCCATCTTTCCCCATCATGTCAGCAGCAGAGAAAGGGCCTCATTACAGCCCCCACTCCCGCCTCCCCCCATCCCATCGGCCCCTACAAAGACCAGCAGTTGCCCTAGCAACAGGTAAACAGGGACATGCAGGACCCGGCACAGCGAGTGTCTCACCAGGAAAGTAGCTACTTGGATGCCATAAATGATGATGTCCTGATTTGCTAATTGGAAGCAGATTTGCCACGCAGCTGAAGGGTGGTTAACGGCGACAGACGGCCTCCAGGCTCCGTGGGCTTCTGAAGCCTCCAGCCCGTGTCTAATGCTCTCACCAGTCTGTGGCCTTTCTCTTGGGGTGTCGCCCTGAAGACAGGCAGAAGCCTGTTTTCATGGAAAGGAGTTTGGTTGAAAATCAACTCGCAAAACCAAATTCAGTGCCATCGAGTCAGTTCTTTCTCGTAGCTACTCTATAGGACAGGGTAGAACTGGCCCTGTGGGCTTCTAAGACTCTCTTTACGCGAGTACAAAGCCTCGTTTTCTCTCCCACAGAGAAGCTGGTGGTTTTAAACTGCTGACCTTCTGGTTAGCAACCCAACGCTTTCCCCACGACACCGCCAGGACTCCTTGGTTGAAAATATTGGCTTGCAGAAGGGCACTCACGTGTTCAGCCAAGGGCGCGTGAGAGGCTCCCAGACGAGTGGTTTTTATGGAGGAGGAAGAGAGATCCAAAGACTCTTGAGGTTCGGAGGCAAGGATGGGCTGCTCGAGTCAGCTAACAGTTTTTGAGAACAGAAGCCATGCCAGGCACTCTTGTATGGATTATAGTTCTAAAAAAATAAGAAAGAAAGAAGTTGGCATGCAAGATTGAGTGAGGGCCTCCGTGGCACAGTGATCTGTGAGCAACACCAGCTTCAAGAACCTGATTGAAGGGGTTCTAAGGAGACTGGGGTGTAGTGGCTTCTGTGTTAACCTGCTAACCACCAGGTCAGCCGTTCTAAACTAAGTTCTACATTTCATGGGATAAAGAAGCAGCTTTCTCCTCCTGTACACAGTCTCAGAACCCCCCAGAACAGTTCTACCAACTCCTATAGAGTCGTGGGGAGTCAGACTCCAGACGCATGGTGAATGTGGAGCGGGTGGTGCAGCAGGCTACCTGTTGGGCTGATCACCCCAAGGTCAGAAGTTCGAACCCATGAACCCACCCAGGGGGAGAAAGATGAGGCACCTCAGAAGAAAGACTTGGCCAAATAAATAAATGAAAATCAGCCACTGAAACCCCTGTGGAGGTCAGTTCTACTCTGACACCCACAGGGTGGCCAGGACTTCGGGTCAACCCCAGAACAATGCCTCTTATGAGTCCTTTTGTGCTTCCCACCCGGGCCATCCCCCACATTCTCTTTCCTGTTGTTCCCCATCACATAGCAGACTCCGCGCCGCAGCTTTTCTGTGGAAACCCTACGTGATTCGTTCTCCTTAAGAAACACATTTGTTTCCGGAGTCACATGGGTTGCCAGTTACTGAGTGAGGTCTAAGCGGAGACGGCAGGTGCCTTTCCCATCAAGAATTTATCCTAATGGTGTAAGGAGTAGAAAAATGTGGAGCCCTTACCATAGAAGAGCTCCTACAATTGCTTTGGGCATAAAGAGCCTTCACCAGCTTTACCTTCAGGGTCATGAATGTCTTTTCTGGAAACCCAGTGGGCAGTCACCAGCGCTTGGTAAACCCTGTCTACAAAAGCTCCATGATTTCGGTAGGCATTTCTTCCTTCTAGTTCGTTGCAATCTGTCTCCTATGCTCTCCCCAAGAACCAGCTCTCCCATCAGCACAGCACCGGGCAGCAGACCTTTCTGCAGTGAGGAAGATGGCCGGCGTGTGTGCTGTCGGTTTGATGACCACCAGTCACATGACGCTATTGAACACTTAGCCCGCGAGGAACTGAACCTTGAATTTTGTCTCATGTTAATTTGTTCTCATATAAATCACCAAATATGGGTTGTGATTGCTCCATCGAATGACACAACTCTTGAAATGAATTGAAAAGTAATCTTTGCAGGACAAAGTTTGGCAAGACCTCTGGCCCTGAGAGTCCGGAAATTGGTTGTAGTTTAGGCCTTGCCCTGATGAGGTGTGGGGCTTTGGATCATACCCTTGACCTCCTGGTTCTCAGAGCTGTTACACAGGGAAGAGGTTGAACTAGATGGTCTCTGAACGCCCTTCAGTGCTGAGGTTCCTTTCTTAATGCTGATAACTGGGAACGAGGGAAAAAAATTAGGACTTGTTTATCAAAAGTTCTTATTGCATGCCTGAAATACTGATCCTTTCACTGAGTACTTTATAAACATAATCCTGGCTTGAAAAAAAGAAAAGAAAGAAAGAAAGTAAGGCCCCCAAACAGAGACACATAAATCCAAAGAGAACTAGGGTAAGACTAAGCCCGGGTACAGTATTCTTCTGTTATTACCGGTCAGCAAAATCAGCTCATTTAGATGCATGACGTTAAACCCCCGCCATGCACAGACAGCTTTTGTGTTTGATTCCCCCACAAAATCTCATTTAACTCCTCAATGATCTATTAGGTGGGTGTATTAGTCTAGGTACTTTAGAGAAACAAATCCACAGCAACTCATGTATAAGAGAGTTTTATGTAAAGAAAGTGTGCATCACGAAAACATCCCAACCCAATGCTGCCCAAGCCCACAAGTCCAACATGAACCCATTTACCCAACACCAGTCCACAAAGTCCTCCACCTCACAAAACAGAGGCAATGATGCCGACTGCAGGAGGAAAGCTGAGTCAGTGAACGAATAAGCATCTCAGCACTAGCAGGGGTCTCCACACAGCTGCTCCAGCACCCAGGGCTGCATCGGGATAGGTCCATGTGGCTTCTCCTTGGGGATGTCTTGTAGGAAGTCAATCTTGCAAGCTGAAGCAGGGAACTGCTAAGGCAGCTGCACCCTGGTGCGACCATCACAAAGCAAGAGACCCGAGAACTAGAAAGGCGAGGCTCACCACCCATTTATCCCTCTGCCTTTCAATTAGCCCCACATGTGACTATTGGCCAGGCTGGCACAATTAACTAATTCAGTAGGCAAGTGAGAATTACTTTTATAAGACACCTTTTTGCCCAAGAATGCAGGCGACCACATGAGAGATTGAAATAATGTAAGCAGCATTGCACCTTTGGCCTTTGAAATAATTTTCTTAGTAATAACAGCAAGGTTGATGGAGGCAGTGAGATGACATATGAGAAACGTGTCCTAACCCATATTAACAATTACAGCTAGTGTGTCTTGAACACTTAGTATGTTCCAGATACTGTTCTAGATGCTTGTCCAAGGCCTTAATTGCCTTACCACTTATAAGAACCACCAGGTAATAACAATAATCAATGCACTTATTGAAAGCCATGCTCTGCTTCAAGACTTTCCATAACCCTGTGACGTTGATACTCTGAGATACCCACTGTTACAGATAAGAAAAGGGAGGCCCAGAGAGGTTAAATGAGTTTTTCCCAGTCAGACTGCAAGCCAAGTGTTCAGTCATGTTCAGTCAGGGCTCAAAAGCAGCGCTTTCAGGCCCCTGTTCTTGACCACGCTCCCTCCTGCCTGTGTGCACGCCTACTGCCCTGAATGGCTGCCCCGTTCACGCATCCTGCTCCACCCCTCATCCAGCACCGTGCCAGAGAGGAAGGGTAGACCTGCTGCTGAGGAGGTATACTTTCTATTTCCCCAAATACAAGATTAAGGTGTATGGCCTTGGCCTTTCTAGAGGAAGTGGCCCATGAACCTGAACAATAGAGGCTTTGTCTCCACGGCTACAAATATCCAGCAGCAAAGTGAGCCATTCTGACTTCATGCGGCTTCCAAGTCTCCAGATGGCTGGCAGCCTTGGTAGAGCTGGGCAGCGCCCAGGCTTTGTTGATAAAGGCCTGGCCCTTGCTGTGAGACCTCAAACCTTGCTGGGCCTCAGCTTCCACTGCTGTATAATGGGGATAATACTAGCAGGGAGGGGATGATTAGCAACATTCTGTGGCATCACAGGTGAAGTGCCTGGCATTCAGAAGGCGTCCAATAAATGCCCATTTTTCTTCTCCCCCACCTCACTGTGATTGTGAGGCTCTGAACCTTTGCTTCTGTTCAGCACCATCTGACTCGGACATGTAGGACATGTATAGCGATGATCATGTTCCAGGAAGAGGAAGCAATGTGTCAGACTGGGTGTGGTAAAGCCGTACCAGGGCCGTGCCCAGGGATAAGATCAAAGTCAAGCTCTTCCATAGAAGACTCACTTCCGCATTTGCATCTCAAGTACATTTCCCAAGAACCCATAAAGCAATAGTTAACAATTTACATACTTTAGCCTGTTCTAACTGGGGTGACAAAGTCGTTAATTAGTGTTAGGGGAAAATCAATGTGGTCTTATACCTCTAGAAAGTTTTGTTCTTCTCGGTACATGCAATAAAAACCCTGATCAGGCCAACAGAGAAAGAGGAAGTGGTGTGTCTCTCTTGAATACACAAATCAGAATGATTAACAGTCATCATGTTGATGGTTTATATAAGCCTAAGCCTGTGGAAATAGCTAACCCTCAAAAGCAGGGAAGCATTTCCATTACTTCACAGGGCCGAAGGAGAATTAGAACTTCGGAGCCAGACAGACCAGGGTTTGAATCCTGACCCTTGTATTACTGACCCAGTGACCTGGAGCACGTCCGTGCCTTTTCTGGGCCCTGATGTTTGGTGCTGTAAAGGGTGACGTTTAGGTTGCTAGCCACAGGTCTGTGATTTGAATCCACAAGCCTGGGGGGGGTGGGGAGGGGGCAGAGGGGGGGCGGGGTAGAGGAAGTTGAGGCTTTCTGATCCTACTAAGATTTACAGCCCACCCAGGAAGCCTCCAGGGGCATGAGGCGGAGGGTACTCAGTGGCAGTGAATTTGGCTTGGTTTGGCCGGAGTTGTGGAGATGCTATTGGGTGAACGCTGAACTGATAACTGCAGGGTCAATGGGTCAAACTCACCAGCTGCTTTTTGGAAGAAAGACGAGGCTGTCTGCTCCCGTAAAGATGGCTCTGAGTTCAAAGTGACCCGAGGCCAGTGGGATTGGGGCTAGAGGGGTTTCCTCACCTGTAATAGAGGAGATGTCAGAGCACCTGCTACCCAGGTGGGTTGTGATCACCGAGTCTCAAACTTGATTGTGCATTAGAATCTCCCCAAGAGCTTGTGAAATACAGATCCTGGTCCCCCACCCCAGGTTTGTTTTTTCCCAGTAGGATCAGTAGATCTGGGACATGGCTGAAAAATGTCCATTTTCAACCATTTCCCAGGTAATACTCTCTTCATGCTGGCCCAGGGGCCTCACTTTTAGAACCACTGTTGTTTAAAAGTCCGAAAGATGTAGCAGAGAAAGCACTGAACACAGAGTGAGTCCGCCCTAAACCTCTGTGGTATTCCGAGCACCCGATTTGCAGAAGGCTATGGATGACGATGAAAGCCCAAAGTCCATCCCCAGAGTTCCCACTGGGTTAAGGCTCCTTTGCATTCCCGGGAGCTGATTGACCAGCAGCGTGACTAGTCTTGCCCACAGACAGAGGGCACTGGAAAGTGGATCCCTGCAGAGAGAGAGGTTGCCATGGAACATGGATCATTGACCCATTTTTAATTTGTTCTAGCTTTTCTTCTGATTTCACTTGGATGGAGGTTTTTCTAAGTTTTATTTTATTCTCATTGTTGGGGTTTTTGATATCATTTTTTTTATGTAAAATCCAAGATTGGTAAATCTACAGACAGTAACTCTCTCACTGCCATCAGTTCAATGCCAACGCATAGTGACCCTGTGGGACAGGGTGGAACTGCTGCCTGGGGCTGTCATGCTTTGGAGCAGAAAACCCGGTGTTTCTCCTGAAGAGCAGCAGCTGGTCCCTAATTAACTGCTGGCCTTGGGATCGCACTTCCATGCACCACCGGGAAAGTCAATGGGCCTCTCTTCCCATAAAAAGTGAGACTTGGCACCTCGAAGGACAGTTCTACTCTGACCTACAGGGTCACTATCAGTCAGAATCGACTCCAGGAGTCAGAAGTGAGTTGGTTTGGCGAGTGAGTTTGGTCAGGTGGGTTTTGATTTTGTGTTTGAGGTAGGATCTGCCGGGGGAGGTTGGGGGATAACAAGTTGCAAATGATAAAGGGCGCCAGAATGAGGGAATCATTCTCAAGTTGATTGTGGTGATGATTGCACTGAATTGTGTGGTACCCGAATGACATGTCAAAAAACCTGTTACATAAGTAAACCTGAGTGGAGGAGATGATGATGGTGACAATGGGGTGACAATGCTGACGGTTGTGTCTTTGTCCCCTCCTCTCCTACGGTATGCCATCAGATGTGGACAGAAGAAGAAACTGGTGATCAACGGCAATGGCGCGGTGGAGAACAGAAAGCCGAGTGAACTAAATGGAGAAGCCAGCAAGTCTCAGGAAATGGTGCATTTGGTGAACAAGGAGCCCTCAGCGACCCCAGACCAGTGCATGACAGCCGATGAGACGCGGAACCTGCAGAATGTGGACATGAAGATTGGCGTGTAACCCTTGCCCAGCAACCTGGGAAAGAAACAACAGAGAGACCACCGTTAGTGGGAACTGGGACTGACAAGTAACAGATGTAATGTGCTACTGATTGTTTCATTGGGGATCATTTTTTTAGCATAACATTTTCTACTTTTTTGCGTGTGGGATTTTTTGTGATTTTTTTTTTAAGTCAAATTCAATTTAGAAAATCAGCATTGCTTTCTGAAATGAGAGTCCAAAGAATAATTGACATGAGTTTGAATATTCCAGTTCCCAACTAGAGGCCTCTCACCTATGGGGGTGAGCTGTGGATGGCTTGTAACAAAAGTCACAAATACATCTTCCCGATTCCCAAACTTCCCTCCCGCCACCTCCTGGGTAGCAGCTACCTGAGCATTCCCCAGAACAAAGAGGGACTGGTCGCTTGGGGGAAATTTGAATGGGTCCATAATGCCCTTCTACCAACCCAATCCCTGGACATTGCTTTCCCATGCGGTAGGGGATAGGGATGTACTGGTTATACATCCCTGTCGCAGACCCACCCACCCACCCCCCGTGGACAAATTTCAGATGCTTCTGGGAGACACACAAAGGGTGAAGCTATTTATCTGTAGTAAGCTATTTATCTGTGTTTTTGAAATATCAAACCCTGGAGGTCCTTTGATCTGTATGTTTTTTTTTTAATTACTTTGTCAGAAGCATAAAAGGGCTTAAGCTGATGCATAATAAACATCTGTACTTCTGCCACCTTTATTCTTTGTGCTGTGATCCTTCGGTTTCTAAACCAGCAAGGGGGAGTCCCTACAACCAAGCCAAGAGCTATGAGAATGATCCTTCTTGAGAGTTGTCATCTCAGAGGGCCTAGGCTTCCACGCAGGCTCGCTTAGTCAAGTCTCACAGGAGAGCGAGAAAGACGTACCAGTCACAGTCAATGCCTACTCCGAGCCATCTACGGGACAAGGTAGAACCGCCCCTGTGAGTTTCCGAGGCCATCACTCAGTCGAAAGTAGGAGTGGGAAGCCCCGTCTTTCTCCTACCAAGAACAACGGCATTATTTTATTTACAAAGTTATCCAAAGGTTTCCTGTCCCCACCCAAAGCCAGCCTGGTGTGGAGAGAGGCTTACGCCACTTTGTGTTTTCATGGCCCCCTCTTGTCCTCCAACAACAAGACGGTACAAAGTGAAATTTCTGTGACCTACCATTTGTGAGATGCCAGTCTCACAAATTCACAGAAACAGACCCTTTTCATGATATCACAGAAAAATACAACAGTCCCTTCAGAGCACTTGTATTAAAAGGAGAAGCCAATGGAAATGGAAGGGTACACTCGGTGGTCAATGGACTGGAATGGGTGAATGGGTGGGTAGGGGTGTTGTAAATCCTGTTCAAGTATTTGTATGATTCTAGCTGTTTATTTATAGTTACAAATCAGTTGCTTCCACTTCCCCTGCTGTTACTCAGGATAAGTCCAGTGTCTGAGGAAACCCTTAAAACAGTGGATCTCAGCCTTCCTCATGCTGCGACCCTTTCATACAGGCCCCCCAACCATAACATTTTCATTGCTACTTCATAACTGTCATTTTGCTACTGTTATGAATCGGGCGACCTCTGTGATAGGGTCATTTGACCCCCAGGTTGAGAACCACTGCCTTAAATGTTTACTGGGCTTCCCACCATTGGAATCTTATCACCAGATACAGTTTTATGGCAATAGCAGTGAAGAATGGCTTTATGTTCTGACCTCATGTTCTCCCCACCTGTCCGCTGACTCAGTAAGTCCTTTGTAGTCTTTATGCCTTGGCCATTAGACTCCATTGGTCCAGGACCTTCCAAAAGACTACTTGTAATCGAAGAGATTGAATCGATCAAGTTTGTGTTCCTATAAAATGATGCACCTTCTTCCACAGGCTGCCATGAAAACTCACCTGTTGCCTAAACGGATATGATTAAATGGCAGTGTGTCTCCCACAGAAAAAAAGCAAAAGGAGAGAGGGGAGGAGGGAGAAGAGATAGGCACCCAGGTAATTTAGACAGGGCTTACCCTGCAGTTCATGCTGAAAGATAGCCTTTAAAGAAGAGCTGGCCTCTGTCTAGCCTCTCCCACACAGCTGCTCCCTGCCCCCCCATCCACCCTCAGCTCCCACCCTGCATTGGCTTCAGAAAACCTCCTAGCTCTTCCTCTGTGAACCTCGATAGACCAACTCCACAATCACGTGTCTGGCCTTCTCCTAATTCTTGTCCCCCAAATTGAAAGAAAATAGCAGGTCCTTCTGATTCTTGTATTGGGACTGCCCTTGGTGTTCAATTTGCCCATGTCCCCAGGCGCTTTCCTGGGTCTGCTTCAGACCCGACAGACCCATGCAGGCATGTGGGTCCAGATTTAGGAGGGTTGGATGAGGCTCTCTTGTCTCCAGGCTCCTTCTGGGGGCATGGATAGCAAGACCAGCCCTTCTAGGCATTCCCAGATAGATTGAGATAGATTGTTTTCAATTCGGTTTCTTTTTGTTGTTACTGCTGTCCTCCACTTGGATAAGCTTGTGCTCACAAGACAGCAGTGAGAGGGAGTTACTGCTTCTCACAGCAGCGGGTTGGGCTTTGATTGTTATTGCTTCTGAGTATTTAACAGAGAGCAGCTCGAGTCTGCCTGCCGTGCTCCTGAAGCTCATGGAATTTGGTGCATTCTTGCCCATGGAACATAATGGCATCATTATGGAAGCTTCCCTGTGTAATTATTCCTGCCAGTGGGCTGCCAAGTGGGCTGAGTCCTTAACCAGTAATCACTTGCTGCCGCACTAGCTCTACTTCACGCTGGTCCCATGTGTGTCCGTGGAGAACTGTGCTCCACTGGGTTTCCAATGAGTGTCTTCTGGCGAAGTAGATCCTCCGACCTTTCTTCCAAGGCACTTTTCAAAAAAAAAAAAAAGGACTTCACTGCCATCGAACATGGAGTTCATTCTGACTCATCGTCACCTCTGCTGTGGTTAGATGCCACTGGGTCTGTTCCAACCCATGGTGCTCTACACACACCACCATCCTCACGATTGATCGTCCTGTGCTTGAGCCCGTGATTGCAGCTGCTGTGTCGACCCGCCCTGTCGAGGGCTCGCTCTTTCCACCACCTCTCCTTTACCAAGCATGGTGTCCTGCTCCAGGGACACATCTCTTCCAACAACATGAGGCGAAGTCATGCCATCCTTGCCTCTAAGGAGCATTCTGGCTGTACTTCTTTCCAGTCAGATAGGTTTGTCCTTTTGACAGTCCATGGTAATTTCAATATTCGCCGCCAACACCATAATTCAAACACATGAATTATTCGTCCGTGTCCCCTGTTCACTGTCCAACATGCGTATAAGGTGATTGAAAAGATCACAGCTTGGGTCAGGCACCTCTAGGGGGACTCAACCCTGTAACCTCTTGTTTAAAAGCATGTTAATCATGTACACCACCTGGGCTTTGCTTGTAAAAGTAAAGGTTCTACACCTAACTAATTAAGTTGCAAAGTAACCTGAAAGCTAAAGATTTTTTTCCCCCTGCAACCCTAAATCATTTGTGCTCCTGAGGACTTTGCATGAAGTTAGCACTTACCCTTGCTCCCCTGGGTTTCCAATAACTGTCTTTTTTTGAAAAGTCAAATGGGACAGAAGAGACCTCTGTGTCCATATATTGGCAGGACCTAACTTGTTAGAATGGATTTCTCCAGCGGAACCCCTCTAAGTGTTTATGTTGAGATTTGAATCGACTCTCTGGCCAAGGCTTACCCAATACGCCTCAAACAGGAGTGGGGAAAAGGAACCCCCGTGCTCTCCACAAGAGAAAAATGTACTTAAGGACCAAAATAGCATGATCCAGTCATTCACCTTTGCGTCACAAGCATGGCGTTTTGCAAATCACTTGTGCTGACTTTTGAAAGAACAGCTTACTGTCCATGCCTGTACCATCATCACTGTTTTAGTTTTGTTTCATCTTTTTGACACCACCTTCTGATTTTTGTACATGCAGTGCTGGATCAATAATCATGAGGGAAACACAATATGTATGTGCCCAGAGGAAAGCACTTATTGGAGATATTAAAAGGCTAATGGAAATATATTGAGAAGTCTCTAATTACAGGCGCTGAGAGGCTGAGAGGGGCCGATGTGATTTACTGGCCCTCTGGGTAATTAGATGCAAAAGAGTTTTGAAATGATGGAAACCTTACACTCATTTTTTCTTTTGTATCATAAAAGACTTGCATCACTTGGAAGTTTTTCCGGTGGAGAAAATTTGATTTTTCATAGGCTTATTATCCATATTTTCCCAACTGAATGAGATCCCATAAAGTTTTAGTTTCTTAAGAACCAAGAGCTACCCCTGGGGGTCCAGTTGAAGAGAAGAATGAAGACATTTACCTCCATTCTCTCCTGCAAGCCCTCTAGCAGATAGGAAAGGGATATTCCACAAATGTACAAACCAATCGAGTCAAAGAGAGTGGAAAAAGTAGCAAAAGCAATGAAATTGTGAAGTCAGAAAATATGATTAATCGGTAACTGATTAAGCAACTTTGGAAAATCTGGATCCTAACTAGAAATTGGGAAGTTGAAAGGCAACCAGATTATTCCAAAGGCCAGGGCATTGGCAGCATGCATTACCTGTTTCTGAGACTGTAACTTTGTGAGAGCACACAGTCTCATCTTTCTCCTGCAGAGTGGCCAGTACGTTTGAACCATGAACCTTAAAGTTAGCAGCCTGTATTAGTCTAGGTACTTTGGAGAAACAAATCCACAGCAACTCACGTATAAGAGAGAGTTTTATGCAAAGAAAATGTGCATCACGAAAACATCCCAACCCAATGCTGCCCAAGCCCACAAGTCCAACATTAACCCATAACCAACACCAGTCCACAAAGTCCTTCACCTCACAAAACAGAGGCAATAATGCCGACTGCAGGAGGAAAGCTGAGTCAGTGAACATGTAAGCATCTCAGCACTGGCAGGGGTCTCCACATGGCTGCTCCAGCACCCAGGGCTGCATCGGGATAGATCCATGTGGCTTCTCCTTGGGGATGTCTTGTAGGAAATCCATCTTGCAAGCTGAAGCAGGGAACTGCTAAGGCAGCTGCACCCGATGCAACCATCACAAAACAAGAGACCCGAGAACTAGAAAGGCAAGGCTTCACCACCCATTTATCCCTCCACCTTTCAACCAGACCCACATGTGATTATCGGCCAGGCTGGCACAATTAACTAACTCACAGCCCAATACTTAACCCACAGTGCCACTGAAATTAGAAGGATAGGTTGAACATTCACTTAAGAAGTGGTTAGAACTCTAGACACCTCCCATGCTCTGCATAGCTTGGTGATTCTAACCTTGGCAAAGGATTAGAAATTTATTTTCTGGAGCGAATGGCACAGTCTTTGGTTACGGACCCTCTGGTATACATAGTTGGTAGCTGAAATACAAGACCGAAAAAGTGAAACTTTACATAAGAGATATTAAGAGCCTCAAGTTGCCTATCAGAACGTCCTCCAGGCAGAATCTCAGTCTTTCTGGAGAATCTGAGAAGCCCGAGAGAGAACCTTGAAGATCCTGTCTTAGTTTCAAACCTTAACAAAGTACCACAAACTGGGTGACTTAAAACAATTGAGCTGCATTGTTTCATGGACCAGAATCTGAAATCGAAGTGTCTGCAGGGCCATGCTTTCTGAAGGATGTAGGCAAAAAATCTTCCCTTGTGCATCCCTACTTCCTGTGACCCCTGGATATCCTTGGT